ATCACACCTCAATGGCTGGATCTGAGCCTTGGCCCTGCCGCTGTAGCTGCTCTTCCTGCTTCATCTTGGGCTTCTCTGTTCGTGTATGCCACACCAGAACCTGTCCCAGGAGGGTTTCAGTTAGAGCCAGGCCCAGCCATAGCCAGGCCTCTGGGGCCCTCAGCACACAACAGATTCTCCAGCCCTCCCTATACACACTGTGTGGGCTGCCAAGGGTGAAGGGCAGAGTCGGGGGAGGCTTTAGAGCATCTAAAATGGGGCCTTACCGCCTCACCCTCTCTGGGCCACACGGGTGCCCAGGACTGTGGGAGACAGAGTGGTAGCAGACCACTTCCCTTCCCTCACCCCCACCTTCCCCATGAGTAGAGGAAGCAAGGTTAAGTCTGAGATCTAGAGTCCCCCCTGCTTCAAACCCCCATACCCTATCCTCCTCCCCAGGACCTCACTCTACCTCTCCCATCACTCATCCATTCCGGAGCCAGGTTTCTGTGCCCACCTCTATCCCCTTACCCGAGTGCAATTGGCAGCCCGGGGCTCCAGGTCCTTGGTATCCACAAGGTGGCTCAGGAGACTGCTCTCCAGGTGGCCCCGGGGAGCAGCACCATCAAACTGGGCATTGGGCTTAGCCAACAGCGAGGGCAGGGCAACAGCAAATCCTGCCATATCCACTGGAAAGGGCCTGTTGGGCTCCCATGCTGTGTGGAAGCCCACAACCCGGCCATCCTGTACCCGAGGTCCCTCGAATCGCAGGCCACCCACCAGCCCCACAGGCCACACTGAGACACCACGGGTCCAGCGCATCTAACAAAAGTCAAAGAGAAGAAACAGACAGGGGTGGCCCAGGGGAAAGGGAAGGACCACTTGGGTCACTCTGCTTCACTGCTCCCCACTCCCCACTCCTCACCCAGTGGCCTAGAGCAACCCTGGTAACCAGGGCAACAGATGAAGCTGACCGCACCTGGCTGCCTTCCCATCCCCATCCCAGTGCTCACCTCCTCAAAGAGTTCCCGGCTGTAGGTGTTATCGTCGTCAGCAAAGTACACGACTCCCCGGGTCCCTGGAGGGGGTGGGTCCTTCTCTCCCCCAACAGCACCTCCTCCACCCCTGAGCCAGTCCAGGGCCCGGTTCCGTTGTTCTACACCTCGGGGCCGAACCCAGCCTGGCTCTCCCTCCCGGAGCCGCTGGGCCTTGGGAGTAAGGACCGCCAGGTGTGTGAAGAGGAGGCCAGAGGCAGCCAGCAGCCCTGAGACCAATGGGGTGGGGCCCTCAGCGTCCTCCACTAGCAGCCAATGCAGCCGGGGCACCAGGCTCAGTGTCTGGGACAGCCGCACCAGCTCTGCCTTCTGTACAAGCCTGCAAGGGGAAGACGCGGCAGGAGGGAAGGAGGTAGGCGCCATGTGCCACTCCAGCCTGTATACACAGTTGCTCCCGGGCCACTTCTAGCATCCCCCATGGCCTTTCCCCAACCAATAGCCAAACTGCCCTTCCTGCTTGTCAGCCTGACACTGACACCTGCCCTGTTCTTCTAGTCCGTGTCTGCCACCAGCTTCAACCCCAGGGCTCTGGCTGTGGGAGACTCTAAGTTAAGGGCACATGCTTTGGAATCAAGATACAGGTTCAGTGCCAGCTTTGTAACTTATTAAATGAGACAACTGGGCAAAATGGCTCCAATGTCCCCAAGCCTCAGTTTCAGGATTGTAAAATGGGAATAACAGTACTTTACAACAATGTTGTCTTAAAGATTAAGTAAGAAAACGGCCTTCTAAAATACCAATAGGACTAGGTTCTCTTCCTCCTGTGTTTGTGTTTCCAGGTAGAGGAATTCAGAGAAACTTCTTGGCTCATTCCTCTCCAGGGGAGGAAGATTTATCTGAGTTTAGACAAAGAACTGGGAAGGTGTGGCCCAGTCACTTCCAGGCTTCTTTAGCCTTCAAATTGGCCTGCCCACCTCAGCGTTGGTGGTTTGTGTGAGGAGAGGGTGTAGAGTTGCCCATGCCTAGATGGGTCAGCCATGTATTAGCAGGCCCTCTGGTTACAGATCCAAAACCATGTTCCCCAGTTGATTTGCATCAGTAATAAAGCTACAATTTAATTTAAAAAAAAAAAAAAAAAAGAAAGAAAGAAAGAAAGGTAAAGCCCTTAGCACAGTGCCTAGTAGAGAAAAACCACACTGTAAATAATAACTGGTGTAACTTTTCCTAGATTCTGGTATGACTGTAAGGCCAAGCCCTTTTCTGCTTCAATTTTGTCAGTTCTCAAAGTTTCTCACCCTAAGGATTTCTAAGGAGGGAGAGTGAATTCATTAGCAAGTTCAAAATCTTTGGAATTTCATTTTCCTATCATAAAATTTCTCAGGAATTTTGTATTCTACTTCAGAGTACTTGCCTATTTTAATAGAAAAATGACCATTTTCCCACAAATCTTTGAGTAAAGATGTGGTTCATTTACCCTGCCGTTTGTTATTTCCTAGTTTGGGGAGCATCCCTTACCAAGTGCCTCCCCAAATTCATCATCAACCCCAACCTCTTAGTCCATGCAGGCCTCTTGGGTATACCAGAGCCCATACCTGGCATAGGTGGGGGTAACAACATAGATAGTAGGCAGGGCCTCAGGTTCAGGGGGCTGGGCAGGGGCAGGCGGTGGGCGACGGAGATCCGCTTGCAGCTGGGAAATCCTCAGATCCTTCTGTCGAAGCTGCTCTGCTGCTGCCCGCAGAGGAGGGAGGCAGTCACATGGCTGGCCTGGTCCCAGGAAGCAGGGATGGGGGCAGAGAACCACAGCATATTCAGCCTCCCAAAGGGCCACAACCTTCTCATTCAATTCCTAGCCAAGGCAGGAATCTCCTCCACAAGTTCTCTACCAGCATTTTCTACATCTCTAGTGGTAAGGACCTCACTGCTTCAATTAGCAGACCCTGTCCAACTTTAATAATTTAAATATTACAACTTTCATTTGGATATTGAGCTGATTATCTGCCTCCATCCTTTCTACCTGCTGGTCCTAATTTTGCCTTCTGGAGCCATAAAGAACAAGTCCATCTCCTAAAACAGGTCAGATTTTCAAATACCTAAGAATCATGCAATGGTCCTGTATCTAAATCCTGCATGAATGGCAGAGTTCAGACTGCTCTCTTGGCTGTGTGACCAGAGACTCATTAATTTATTGATTCCATTACTGAATAAATATTTATTGAATGCTCCTCCTGGGAGGCACTGTTTTAGGTGCTGGGGATACAACAAGGAACACAGCAGATATGGTCTCTGCCCTCACGAAGCTTTCAGTTTTGTGGAAGTGGCAGGCACAGAGCAAAGAGACAAATTAATAAAATCACTATAAATTGTGATAAGGACCATGAAAGAAATACGACAGAGAATAAAAGAGAATCTAGAAAAAAAGTGTTACTCTAGCCAAGGTGGTCGGGGAAGGCCTCTGAGGCGGTGACATTTGAGCCGGGACCTCTAGGATGAGAAAGCAGCAGCTGGGAAACAGCTGGGAGAAAAGCGCCGCAAGAGGAGGGAACAGGTTATGAGCTTGATAAACGCAACCAGATTTTCAAGAAAATGTCAGGAAGCTAGGGTGGCCCCAGCGGAGCAAAAAATGGGGTAGTTAATGGGGTTGGAAAGGCAGACGGCGGCAGGATCATGCGGGGCCCTGCAGGGTCTGGAAAGGAGTCTAGATTTCATCCCAGGTGCGGTGGAAAGCCGCGGTGCATTCTAGAGAGGGGAGTGCACCCGGCGGCCGCAGAGGGCTGTCGGAGGGCCGAGCTGCAGGAATGGTGTCTGCGCGGAGGTTCATCCCCAAGGCGGGACTGGTCGGCCAGTCGCACCCCCGCCCGGCCCCGCTCACCGAGCTGCACCAGCGCGTAGAGGAGACCAGCGATCGACACCAGGAAGTAGGCGAGAAACACGTTCTTCAGCTTCAGCTTCATGGCCGCGCCGCCGCCGGCGCGGGGGCAGGCGGGGTGCCGCCCGGGCGACGGGTCCCCGCCCCGCGCCCGCGCCCGCCAGCCTGCAGGCCCCGCCCCGCGTCCCGCCCTCCTCAAGCTCCCCTCTACCAGCTCCCGGCGGCTGGGGCTACGGCGCCCTCGCGAGCTAACTTCCGGTCAGTCCGCAACCGCCCCCCCCCCAGTGTAATTTCCGGTCCCTCAGCTCGTTCTGGGGATCGCGGGAGTGACGTCATATCCGACCCATCAAGAGCCAGTGGCCGGCTGACAGAAGCCCGATGGCAGCACGTGGAACTTTCAGACCTCCCCTTGAGCCCCAGTCCCTGTGCCCATATTCTCTCCTTTATATTCATTCTTTAATCCATCAGTCACAGCGCCCCATAGCTCGTAAATTTGGGGCCTTATGTGCCAGGCTTGTCTCATATAATCCTCACTATAAACCTTCAAAACAGATGGTATTGTCCTCACTTTATAGGTATAATTATGTTTGACAAAAGTTATATAACTGCCGTTGTGAAGATTTGTCCCTTCTAGATACCGGATTCCAGGATCTGTACTATTTCCTCTGACCCACATTTCTTAAAACAGATTACACTGGGTGTAAAGGCAAGGATGGCTGTCAAGACAATAGGCCATCTTGGCAGTTGATTAGATTTCTTGAGCTGAGGAATTCAATGAACACATCCCCTAATTCTTAACAGGCACAAGCTGTTAACATTTTTCCTAAAAAAAAAAAAAAATATTTTGTAAAATAATCTGTAAGACGAGAAAACTTTCCTGTCCCTAAAAGCAATGGGGAAAAAATTTTTTTAAGTGCTGTTAGCGGAAGATAAGCAACCTTTACTGTGAGAACATTTGACCAATATGGCTATTTCTATTCAAGAGGGACCCCATCAGCTCTGGTCACCACTATTAACTATCTAACAAGCAGAAGAAGGCATGCACTTGTTCATTTTGCTGTATCAATGAGGCTTAGGTTGAAGCTAGATAAATATGTCAGGTCCTTGCGCTTTTAAGGGTCGGTGGTTCAGGCCCAAACAAGAATCCAGACACCAACTGTTACTTATGGTTTATCTTTACTGTTTCTCCTTTTATCAAAATCTGTCAGAGCTGGAGGCCAAGAGGAAGTAAAAAAAATTCCCACAAATGATCTCCCTTGCCCCCAGTTAGGTCTCCCCCACCCTCCACCCAGGGCTTCAGGCCAACCCTGGGCACACATGATCATCTCCCCCCTTCTCCAGCCTTCTCCCAGCAATAAATACAGGTGACCGTGCGTGATTCGATGAAACCACAACTGATTTCTCCATCTTGAGTGCCCCTCAAGGGGACAAAAAAAAAAGGGGGGCAAAAGAAGTTTAATGCCCAACCTCTCGAGGAATGGAAACTTCTTTTCCCCAAAAGGACAGGGGAGGTAGAACTGCCCCTGTCTGAACTGCAGCAGCTCGCGAAGAAATTGGGGAGAGGATAGGTTGGGATGAGAGGGAAGAGGATGTTCAGCAACTTTACTCCTTTGATCCATTCATACCTTTTCAGGTAAGGGGTGGTCCCAATCTATTAGTCAAAATAAAAAGGAAAGGGCTGACAGAGACGACCCAGAAAGAAGAAATATATATAGGAGGAGGGACAGCAGTTTGGTGGAGACGGATGGAGAAAAGGGGCCCTAAAGCCCATGGTCCTCATCTTCTTCCAAGAAATGGCATCGATACATGAGAGGCATCAGTGCAGAGGGTCTGGAGGAGATGCAGGGCCCCCAAAAGACAGGAAGAGAGAAGGGAAAGTGAGGGCCCTGTGGTCTCCAGGTCTTCACAGGTGAATGTGCTCCAGTTAGAGCAACAGAGCATTGGAATAAAGGGAGACTTGGTGTCAGTGGGGTGGAAGAGGTCAGGAGATCAAAAAGGAATTCAGAGGTCTCTCATCCTACCCAGATGTTGGCAGAATCTGGATGTTGGGATAAGAAAGGTGAAGTCTGGGGAGGGTAAACTCCAAGGCAGAAGGGAAGGGTAACTCTCATCATCACCGCACCGTCCCACCCCCCAACATCCCTTGGGTTATCGTAGGTGAATGCTCCAGTCAGATGCCACATTAACACCAGGCTTGCGCAGGATCAACACAGAGGTCTCAGGGTCATGCTGGAAGGACAGGCGGCTTTCAGGCGATTCTGGTGGAGGAAGAAAGAGAGCTACGGTCATAGCAATAGGCTGTTGCATAACAACCAGTTTCCTTACAAGCAAAGTGTCCCCAACCCCGCCCCTGCATCCCCTCTTGTCCCACCCTGAGGACCAGGACCAGGTCACTCCTCACCTTTTGTCCGGAGTACCACAGCTGCTGGCTTCCCAGCCCCTATTATCACCACCCGTTCAATCCAGATGGGTGTATCAAGGTGGCCTTTGTGGTCTGCAGAGCTGGAGGGAGAAAACATGGATGTCTGTCAGGGAGAAAGATGTCAAAGCAGAAGGAAGGAGACCCACAGCAAGGTCATATTGCAAGAAAAGAGCACAGTGAGCTATGATCATCCCCCGGCCCCGCCTTCTCCACAGGCTGCCAAAGAATGGATACCTCATTACCTGGAGACAAGGGTGTTGCCAGAGAATGAGAATCGACGCAGCAGGAACTCATGGCGAGTCTGATAGTTGAACGTGTGCCCATCATCTAGGAAGAGTTCTCCTTGGGCGGTACCCTGAGCAGGAAGTGGGAGAGGGACAGCCTGAGCCCTAGAAGGAGTGAGGGGTGCATCCCCAAGGGGCTGAGTCCTAGGAAGACAGGTAGATGGTTGAGGAGGCTCCCTGCCTATGCACTCACCTGGGGGCTGAGTGCAACGAAAAGAGTGATGGGGTCATCCTTCATACAGTCTGAAGAGCGCCGCACTCGCATCCATCGAGGCACAATTGTCCCCCCACGCTGGAACACTGGGATCTAGGGGGAGAGTAGTGCTGGGAAGAAGCTGCCCCACTGTCCAATCTTGGGCCCTGCAGAACCTTTTGCTTTTGTCTATCTCTGCCCACTTCGGTACTGGCCCCTAAAGCCCACACTCTCTCCTTCTGGAAACTACAGAAACTGGCAGCTGGACTAGCCATACTCACACTGCTTAGAGTCACAGGCAGGTACAGAGTCTGGGGGCCATGATGCTTCTGGTAACTCTGAATGTCATACCACACCTGAGGGTGGCAGGAGACAAAACAGTTTACTGTTGAGGGCTCCCATCTTATTTATTGCCTTTGACTTCCTACACCATGTTGCCCCGCTATGCCCTTTCTTAACTCACCTCCCCCTGGCCGGGCAGATAAACCTGCACACCATGAGCCCCGGAGTCTGATACAGGGTGAACCAGTAACGCATCCCCTAAAATACACCAGAATCAACTGTGAACTGAGGAGATCATTGCCAGACAGGGAACAACAAAGTATGTGCCCCCTTGCACTGCCAGCCTCACTCACTCCTCCCACTCTGGGCACCCACAGACATGTCTCCACCAAGTGCTTACTTCTCAGCCCTATCCCAACCTACCACCAACTGTCTTCCCCATTTCTCACCCAGCAGAAACTGATCATCTATACCGAAGGTGGCTACATCCTGAGGATACTGTACCCACAGGGGCCTAGGGAGGAAGCAAGACAAGAAAGGAAGGCACTTGCAGTTTGACCAAAGTCAAAGATGCTACCCAGGAACTGGTGAGAAGGCACAGGGCTACAACCCAGGGGCCTGCACCCACACAGCCCAGCTCAGTTCAGCTATGCAGCCTAACCTTGGTGTAGCCATTTAGCTTCCAAACGTACCCCCACCTCCTCCTCCCCTGTACATACTGTTCTGCACAGCAGTCTTCCAGTTGCCACTTGGTTATCCTGGCCTGAAAGGCCTCCAGGATTAGACCGAATTCCCCTCCCCACCTCATCTCCTACCTCTCCTTCAGGTTCCTTACTCCTGAGATACTGCTTATTTCTACTCCTGGAACACCACTTTCAAAGTAAACTCACTTTGTAATTTTTATACTTGCAGCCTGCTCTGTCTTAAAAAATCTTCCTCTAGGTCACAAAAATCTGTCCCCATCATTGGTCAAGCCTTATTTCACATGGCCTTCTTAAAAAGACCATTTGCAGAACCTAATCCCATTACCTTGTTCTATTTTTTTGAAGAGCTCATCAGTGTTGGCAGTTTCCTTATTTAGGTATTTGTTTACATGCCTGTTTTCCTTCTAAGAAAGTAAGTTCCACAAGGGTAGGACATTTGTCTGTTTCAGGGTCTGAGGATAGTGATGGATAAGGCCTGACATGTCAAACACTAAATAATGTTTACTGCTAATCATCCCTAAGTCTCCTCTTTCTCTTAATCCTTGAAATTAATTTCCCTCCTTTACAACGCTCTGGTGAATGAAAAGCCTAGAGATAGACCCCAGCCCCCACTGTGCCCCAACCCACTGACACAGGCACAACTGAAAGGCTCACCTCATGACAGGAATCCCTTCACGATGGGCCTGATAGAAGAGGGTGTACCAGAAGGGCAGCAAGGAGTATCGCTGGCCCAGGGCATCTCGGATTATGTCATGGTACTGAGATGGTAACAGCCATGGCTCTCGCCGCCCAGTGTCCAAGTGTGCATGTGCCCGGAAGAATGGCTGGTATGCACCCATCTGGTACCAGCGCACAAGCAGCTCTGGCTCTGGATTTTTGAAGAAGCCGCCCACATCCGCTGGGAGAGGGAAGGGAGGAAGCAGGTTGGAAAAGAGGGCAAAGGAGGTCTGCTGCCTAAGGAGTGCCCCAGGACCCCACCCTGGACTCTCAGCTGTCTGTTCATGGCCAGGGCCTGAGTCCTCTACCTTGACCCTATCCCACCAAACCAAGTCCCCAAATTCCTCCCCCTCTTACCCCCACAGAAGGAGACTCCCACCAGCCCCAAGCTGAGACACATAGGGATAGAAATCTTCAAATGGTCCCATTCGGCAGTGTTGTCGCCTGTCCACACGGCTCCTGAGAAAGACAAGAAGGAAGGAGCTTGCAAACAGTGAAGGGGCTCAGTCTTCTATGCAGCTGATCTCTCTGACCTGCCACATTTGCTCTGGGGCCCTCACAGTCCCACTGAAGATGGCAGAGTACACAGAGCACTTAAATGGGAAATGGGCCTCCCACTCTCTGCTCCCCTTGAAGTGCACAGCTAGTGGGACACAGTGTGCAGCTCTCAGACAAAGGCCACGGGGACAGATTTCTCCGCGAACCAGCCCTAGGTCCAAAGCTCCTCCAATCCGGCCTGCACACCCTCTGCCACAGCTCTATTCTCTAAAACTTACCAAAGCGCTGGGAGCCAGCAAAGAAAGCCCTGCTCAGGACAAAGGGACGTTCTATGCCCCCAGAGCGCAGCACCAGCCCATCAGCAGTCGCCATATGCTGGGTTGAGAAAGGAAAGAAAAGGGGTGGGGTAGCGAGGAGCAAAATCCAAGTCACCTGGTATCAGTCCAACGCCCTCAGTCTCTCCTCTCAGCCTCTTACCACATAGAAGCCATAGATGTTATGCACATCTCGGTGCTCCCAGCCCCCATAGTGCTGGGCATCCTTGAGCATGGTGACCTCAGGACCATTGAACACAGATGGTTCATTCATGTCATTCCAGACATAGAGATTGGGAGCAGAGCCCTGCGAACACAAGGCAGAACATGGGGGCAGAATGAGGACAGGAAAAAGACAAGTGTCAGAGCAGAGAGTTCCTAGGAATCCAGAAAACATACACTTCTTGGGGCCCTCCCAGGATCATCAAGGCCCCCTGATATATTATAGGCAACCAGCCAAAGCAGGGCCAGTGACGAGAGGTAGGGTGGGAAAAACAGAAGCAGTTCAGGAGAGGAGCTGCCATACCTCGTAATTGTCAAAGCTGAACATGTTAGCCCACCAGGCCCTCATTGCAGGATTGGTGAAGTCAGGGTAACCAGCTGCACCTAGGAGAAGTTAAGAGTGACTATCAACCCCCAAGGGGCAATATGGGCACCATTCTACCTACAAAGTCTCCCGATAGCCTCTCCCTCAGTGCTGGTCCACCTACCTGGCCAGCACCAGCCCTCGTAGTCAGAGCCATCCCGTGTTTTAACGTACAGACCCTGGTTCCTCAACTCATCATGTACACGGTAGCCAGAGTCCACCTTGATATGGGGGTCCACAATGGCCACCAACTGGGGGCAAGGAACAAGGGTGGTCAGAGCTCCCCAGGGCTATCATGCCTGAGGAGACCAACCATAGCTACAGTCCTCTTACCTTCCTCCTCTTGGAGGCCAAGTGTTCAAGCATGGTGAGGGGTTGGGGGAAACGGCTAGGGTCCCAGGTGAAGTACCGCTTGCCATCAGCATGCTCAATGTCCAGCCAGATGACATCGCAGGGCAGGTTGTGATCATCGAAGCCCTGGTCGACTTCCAGCACATCGGCCTCGTCCCGGTAGTTCCAGCGGCTCTGGTGGTAGCCGAGGGAGAAGAGCGGGGGCAATGCCTGGGTCCCTGCAGGTTCAGCAAGGGACGGAGGTCACAATGGGGTCAGGCCTAACCTGGGGCCAATGGGAACACAAAAAATTTGAAGCAGGCTTATAAACTAGAGGGAGGCTGAAGGTTCAGGGCCAGAAAACAGGCTGAGGCACAGGACTTCTGAAAATGTCACCCCGCTCAAGAAGACAAAGGCTGGAAAAGGAGGTTGTCGGCTAATAGAGCGGGGATGCTACATACCTGTGAGACTAGCATACTGCCAGAACACATCAGAGACAGAAGGCCCCAGAAGCAAGAAGACATCAACGATGCCACTCTCTGACATCCAGCGCACATCCGTCTGCGGGGTCTCCCCAGAGCCCTGCAGGTAGTCTAGCATCTTCCCAAACAAGGTCTGCAAAGGGGATGAGAGAGGTCTGATACCTGCCCGCTATTACCCAATCCAGAAACAAAGCAGCAATGGTCTCAGAGTGCTCACACAGTTGGCTCCCGGTGAGTGGCTTTGGGCTGAGATTAAATGCCACCTCCTCACTGGGGCTTTCCTGGGCCACACCATCTAAAGCAGCACCACCCATCCCCATGGAACCATTACATTTCTGCCTTAGCACTCACCTACTTTGTTACCTACTCATGCCTACTTTGTTACGTGCCTGTCTTCCTCCCTGAAAGTGAGAACCTTTTCTATCTCACTCAGTAATATATGTCTATCCTCAGCACACAGACCAGAGTCTAGTATGAACTGTGTACTAAGTAACAAATGTACTAGTACAACTGCAGGAAGCACAATACCTTTCCCATGAGTGTGTGTCTCCTGGGAGTGACTGGGGAACTTAAACACTGCACACGAGGCCAAGGGCCCCTTCTCTCCCCATCCCTAAAGAGGTATCTAAACAGGCCATTCCACCGACATCTTCAAAGCTAATGCCCCTGGCACATATCTTTGTCTCCAGCCTGAAGACTCACTCTCTTTTATTTCTCCCCACACCTGTGTTCTCACCTTCCCTGCTGTGTTAGAGGAAATGTCAACCCAGGTCTCAGCGGCATTGAGCCAGAAGATGCCCAGGTCCCGATGAGGGCTATGTGCCAGGAGCACGGGCACAGATCCATACAGAGCCATGGGGTTGTACAGCTCATACTGGAACACATCCAAATTGTAGAGGCGATATGGCTCCCCACCCCTGCAGGCAGACAGACAGACTAGCCCCAGGCCATTGCACATGCAACTCCCACCCCACAGACACAGGTGAGGGATAAGAACAGACCCCTCTACCCTTTCTCAAAGAAAAATTTTCTGATCGCCGAAAGTGATCTGCATGCACATCTCCCCACAAACCTGACTCCCAAGCACTCTGTCCCCCATATTCTCAGGTTACCATGAGACTCACTCAGTGACTTTCAGCCTCAAGCTGTCTGCATGCTCGGGGATCCCATACACATGCTCCATGCCTGGCAGAGAGAAGTCCAAACCCACAGACGTGGGACCTAGAAGGAAGGCAAAAGAAGGCTCCAGAGCTTCTGCTTGGCAAGGACTCCCTGCACCCCTGTCCAGGGCTCTCCCAGTCCCTCACCATATGGCTTGCTGTCAGAGTGAGTTCTGAATGTTTCCTCCCAGGCTCCTGGCTCATCTTTCTCTGCCTTCCCCTGAGTCTCCTCTGGCTGTGAGGAGGAAAGCAGACCACTACCGAATCACACACCAGTTCTCTCTCTTCCCCGGCCCCTTTGCTAAATCCCATCCTTGATGGAGACACTAAGCTCAAGTTTCCTGTGGGTGGGCCTTTCCCCTCCAACCTCCCAATCCGCCTTGTGCTCCAACCACCATTCCCACCGACTTGCCTTGTCTCCATCCCCAGGTGTTTCCTCGGGCTGGGCCCCATCGCCCTCAGCTGGGTCTTTTGATCCTTGCCTGGAAGGTAGGAGAGCTGTCTGCTCCAATCCAGAGGGGGCAGGGACGAGGGGCTAGTGGAAGGAGGGGTGAGGGAATAGAGAGCCAAGGGTCCAAAGGAACGAAGGCATTGGAGGAAGGGACTGAATGTTAAAAGCTTGGAGAAGGACCCCCCAGTGAGCAGATACATGTGCAAAGGATGGGGAAAGAAATGAGAAAGGGAAACGAGGAGTAATGCCACCAGGAGGTGCCTTCCATACACAGGCCCAAATCACCAGCCTCTGCCAGCATTCCAGAAGAGATAGGCAAGGTGGTTCAAGGGTCTGGATTCAGAATGCCAGTACTGGCTCTGCTGCCTCTCAGAGACTGGCCACAAAAGGCTCACTGGGCCTCAGCCTCCAGGCCTAATACAAAGGTTTTGCAAAGGCAAGTGGGTCATACCATGGGTCAGGCTGCTATAGACATATGCAGGTACTCAAACAAGAGGTTCTGCCAACGAATGCTTTCAAGGGCAACTGGCAAGCAGCTCTACCCAGAGCCTCGGTGCACCCCAGCAGAGAGCCAGGAACACTGGCAACAGACAGCATCTCTCTCCACCCCTTGGCAAAGCAAGAAGCTCCCTACATTCCTTAAGGACTTCCAACATTTCATCTTCCTTCTCCCAGGGGGTTCCCAGCCAGGGGAGCAGGGACCAGATCCCACAGAGCTGCGGAAAAAGGGGTAAATGAAGGGCAGGGCATGAAGGGTCCAGGGCACCTTCCCCCGGGGGCCAGAGTAAAGGGTGGGTAATGGCAAAGGAACAGATACAGTACCAGTGGCCATGGATTTACCTAGAGAAAAGGTTCTTGATCTTATCCCAAACGCTACCGAGTGTGAGACTAACTTTATCCGAGAAACTGGGGCAGGAGGAGATGGGTAGGGAGGGGAAAGGAGGCACAAAACCAACACAAAAACAGAAACATAAAAGTGAGTTTCAGTTGACAAACTTCCAGAGATGTCAAGGAGGGGGAAGAAATTTTTTTAAAAAAAAAGGAAGAAAATAAACCTGGGAAATGTGATGGCACGAGAAGGGGAAGAGGGAAAGGCAGACCCAGGCTGGCCTCCCAGAAGAGGGGCCCAGGGTCCAACTCAGGGTCAAAAGTGACTGCCCCCTGGTCTATACAAAAAATGAGAAAACTGTGACCCAGGACGGCTTCCTACCCTCCCTGAAAGTCAGCTTCTCCCAGCCCCCAGCCCCTTCCTGGCTATCCTGCCACCCTGTCTCCTCCCAGGGACCCAGTGCCAGACCCCACAACACCTCTAGGCTATTTCACACTAGATCCCCTTCAGTCCCGACCCCTGTACTCACGAGACCCTGGGGGCCCTCTGGTGCTCAAAATCCAAGAGTCCACGGGCATTGACACTGAGTAGAAGGCTGCGGTCCTCTAGCAGGTCCAGACGAAATGGCTTTGCCGTCAAGATGATTTTATAGGGTCCCTCAGCCACAGTTAGCTCCACACTGTTCTCATCACGGCCAGAAATTGAAAGCCTGGGGAAGAGATCAGAAGGGGCATAAAGAAGTACAATGGGCCAAGAGCAATGATGACACTTCAGAAGAGGGGGGGACTGACTAAGAGCTACAGGTAGTATAGGAGCAATGCAGAGAGACACAAACTGACCAAAAGAACCCAACAGACAGCCTGGAAAGGGACCCAAGCATACTTTGAACTTCAAAATATAACACAAGGTAGTATAGTAGTTAAACAAGGAAAAGGAAGGCTATTCAGTAATGGACAAGGAAGTAGATTTTCTGGATAGGAAAAAAGTTGTATTATATTCCTATATCCTATCAGATACAGGTATCATCTCTACAAAGATTATGACTTAAAATCTAAAAGTAAAACCTTTAGAAGAAAATATAAACAAATATTTTTCTGACCTTGAGGTAGAAAAAGATTATGGAAACACAATTTAGAAAATGTTAACACCAGAATGTAAATGACTGATATATGGACAACATTAAAATTCAGAATTTCTATTTATCAAAAGACACCTTTAGGGTCATCAAAAACAACAAAAGTCTGAGAAATTCCCTGTGTAGAGCAGCCTAAGGAGACATGACAACTAATTGTACTATGGTGTTGTGTTTGGGTCCAGGAACAGAAAAAGGGTGTGAGGTAAAAACTAAGGAAACCTGAATAAAATATGGCCTTTAACTAATAATAACATCAATTCATTAGGTGTGACAAATGTAGCACAGTAATGTTAACAATTGAGGAAAACAGGAGCGCAGGGTATACAGGAACTCTCATGATACTCTTGCAACTTTCTACAATTCTAAAACCATCCTAAAATTTAGAAATCCTTTTTTTCAAGGTCCCTTCAGGAAAGTAAAAAGATGAACTACAACGTGGGAAAAGATAGCTGCAATATATATGTGATAAAGTAGTATCGAGACTGAAGAATTTCCACAAATCAGTTAAGAACAACACGGAAGGAAAAGCATAGCTGTGGTCTCCCACTTCACGGTACAGAAAACCAAATGACAGCTGGACACATGAGGACATGCTCCATCTCATTAACAAGCTGGGAAAGACAACCAAACCAAGACACCACGGAACATGATTCTCCACCTGTTCTATTAACAAAAATTAGGTCCAGGAGTACTACAGGCTGCACAGGGTGTGATCGGTGAGGCCTCTGTATACTACAGGTGGAAGTGTCAACTGGTAGCCATTTGACCTTTACCTTGGAAGGCCGATCATTTTCATTTTCTGCAACTCTGCAGTTCCTCTCCTAGCTATACACCAAAAAGAAACTCCTGCATGAGGACACAGGAGACATGAATGTTTGTGTCAACATTCTGAATGGCAAAACACTGAAAACAATCCGAATGCCCACTAACACAAAAATAAAGTTGGGGTGTATGTATATAGCATAATATTTTACAGCAGTAAAAATGAATTCCTAAAGCTACATACAAGACAGTTCAATAAAGTTACATGAAAAAAGGAAATCCTGGAAGATCACATTCACTAAGATACTTTCCCTGTAAAGCTCAAGAGCAAACAAAACCACACAATTTATTGCTTAGGCACATATACACAAGTAAACGTGTATGTACATACATATTTACATACACATACACACACGTACAGCTGTAACAACAAAAACAAGGGAAGAACAGACGTCAGAATAATGAACTTCTGTGGGGGAGTGAAGGGTACAGGACAGTGAGAAGTACATGGTTGGGCTTGGTGCAGGGTACACAGGGTAGAGGGTTTACTATGTTATTTCCTGTTAGGTACTTTAAATAGAGCCACGCATGCAGTAAGACAACAGTGTGTCATGATCCAAGAACCTGAGTAATTCTATCCTGAATATCTGAGGAAAAAGAAAGGGAAAAAAAGGAGGAAGGGAAGGGAAGGGTGAAACCACCCAGAGGGACACTGGATTCCTGGGGGCAAGGTGTGTGGCCTTGCTGATTTCCTCTTACATTACCAGCGCCTAGCCCAGGCCTGGCACAGAAGAGGAAGCAGTATCTGTTTGCTCAGTGAGTGAAGATAAAGGGTAAAAGAGAAATCAAATGAAACAGGAAGAGATGGGGAAAGGTTGAAAAGAGTGTCGAGGTGCTAGTCAGCTTTTATCCCAACATGACAGAGAAGGTTTATGTGAAGCAGAAAAATTACCTGGCTGTGGGGGGATCAGCCACCAACACGTCTGGCACACGGTATCGCGGCCGCCGGGGCTCCAGTTCATCAATCCTGATCCGAGTCATATTCTTTTGAAGTCCCTGGAGTTCTAGCACCAGCAGTACCTGTGGAGGCAGAGGTTTGGATCTGGAGAAAAGACAGGGCTACATGAAATGCCCTGTAACCCCAGTCCCTCCTGAGGTGTCTCTCCCTTCTAGCTCTTTGCCCAAGGGACCTGAGATCTGAAAAGTAAAAGCCCCAAACTAGACTGGGACAGAGCATTGGTTACAGGTTCCCCTTCATGAATTACCCCTTAGCCATTTCCCTACCCCCACCAGACTTTTCCGTTTCTCTCCTGACCTTGGTGACCTCGTTAATCAGATGGACTGTGAGGGCATCGGGACCAAGTTCCAGAGAGTCCAGCAAAGCTCGGTATGGAGAGAGGCCTGGCCGTATGCTTCGCTGCCTCCTGCCAAGTGAAATGGTTGATAAGGTGGGAGGGTAGCCCAATGTCCCTAGGTCCCTCTATCACCTGCAGTGTCCCCAGCTACCCCATCTGCCATGGACACCTCCCATATCACCCTACTTTTCCTCCCATTCTCCAAGAAATATCATACTTGCAGAAGGAACTCTCTTCACAGGTCTTAAAGTTGCTTCTATCCACAGCAAGGGTAATTCCCAGGCAGAACCCTAAATAAGCCAATGCCAAACCTGTCCAAGACCTAAGGAGAAAAATGACAGAGCAAACAATCAGCACCAGGGTCAGAAAGGGCCCCACCTTCTGTGGCCGCCTCCTGCCACAACACTAAGGGGAGAAAGATAAAGTTTCATTAAATAGAAAAGAGGGTAGAGTGGACATGGGGTTAAGTATCAGGTCTGAGGATTTGGCTCATTCACACCTTCCCTTCAAAAGGCAGAAGCAGGGGACAAAGGATCTTTGGCCTTCAGAGGCCCTGGTATTGACTCTGGTTACATCAGCCTCTCAGAGGAAAGGAGCATTAACCAGTCCTAGGGGAAGTGGTGGTACCATGTGTGTGGAACACAGAAACAAGGCAAGCCATGCTTTTCCATGGGCAAGGCATTAGGTGGAGCTACAGGAAAAGAGTTAAAGATGTAACTTCAGCCAGCCTACTGGTCAGTTACTAGGGTTCTAACATCCAAACCCTAGGCATCCTGCTTCTCTGACCTCCCAGCCTGTATCTTCAAAATAAGTCCCTACTGTCACTACCTATGCCCACGAAGAATAAAAATAGCTGACATGTATTGAGTTCTACCCCAAGGGGCCTGACTAATTGCTCTATATTCCATTTACAACAACTCTGTCTGCAGTTTTGTAAAATGTCAATATCCTGGTCTCACCTGGAGATCCTGATCTAATTGGCCTGAGTGGGGCCTGGGCATCAGCTTTTTAAAAGTTCCCTAAACAACTCTAGCGGGCAACCATGGCTCAGAACCACTTCTTATATGCACTATCTCTTTTCCCTTTCTTCTCTTGCTTTCTTGGTGAATGAAGGGTTGGGGTACTTCCCAGATGGGAAAACTGTAGAATAAAAGATTCAACAATCCATCTGTAATTGAGCACTGAAACTGGGATTAAACTCAGTTCTGCCTGACTCTGGAGCCCATGTACTTCATGATGCACCATACAGAACACCAACCATCAGGAGGGCCTGCCTCACTGAGGACCAGCATGCCAAGGTTACCACAAACTGTCACTTTCCCAACATGCTATCAAATGACAGACAAGGAACAAATTGGTTTGAAGGATATATTCATCCATGCTGAGAAAATCCTAAACAGGTATTCTCAAACTTTAATTTATTCCGTTAAGAATTACCTGCAGTGCCTAATAAATGAAGATTTCCAAGATCGGGTAATTCGCATTTTAAACACACTCTCCCAGCAACCAAAGTATGTAGTCCAGTATCAAACTCTGAGCAAGTTTTCCAAATAGGGAGAAAAAAAAAACACAGGCTTCTTATAAGCATTAAAACTGTGCAACCTGCTAACACAGTAACTAAAAAGTAGGGTCTACTATACATTGTATTCAGCATTAGCCTCAGTTATCTGCTTGAAAGCTGAAGGTAAATTTATCACAAGAGATCACAAAAATGTGCAAAACAAGCCGGGCAAGACAGAAAAGATGAGAAAAACACAGGCATTGTAGTCTAACAGTCCAGGCAGGAATTGGTAGTAGCAAACCAAGCAGAAGAAATGCTACCAAAAAACTCAACAAGGCATGTGACCCGGGTCCTGAGGAGCGACTGCAGCAAGCACCCTGAGCCACTAACCCTATGTCCACCTGCCCAAAGCAGCAGTAATCAGAAGTACAGTGAGTTAAATATCTTCTGGAGTCTTATTTGCACAATCTATAAAATGGATTTGGAGAGATGCCAACGGGGTAAGATTTCTAAAAGATCTTTCAGATGTGACCTGTTGGAAGGCCCTAGGAACTGAGGGATGATTGAACGCCCCTGAGCCAGAGGTGGTCACAAGCCTAAGTCAGGAATGAGCCACAGGGCAGGGTGCACCCGTTTATTGTTTCAAATCACAGGGTTCCAGACAGTTGAGTTTACGGTCCATGCTTCTGTCGCTGCTGCCTGTGATACAAGCCTCTCCCATCCAGTATGTATCCGTTGGGTCCTTGTAAACGCTTTGTGGCACTGGTGATTGTTTCGAACCGTTTTTTCGGTAATATAAACTCGAGAGCGCAGACCAAGCCATTCGATTACATGTTGTGTTTGAGCAACATCATCCAGGCAGACTGTGAACTTACAGCATCCGGCCCCAGCCGTGCCCAGAGACCGTGAACACCGAAAAAGCCAGGTATGGTGTCCACGAGAAGACAAGGGCAAGGCAGGGGCCGGGACTCTGTCGGGGAGAAGAATAGTGCAGGCCGGACTGCCGGCCGCGGTGCTTCCAGCGAGGCTGAGGGACCGCAGGGCAGCAGGATGCGTTCGCGGAGACCGGGCCGCGTCTAGTCCCCCGCCCTGGCGGCCCCGCTCACTGCAGGAAGGAAGCGGCAACGTTAAGTGCCGCGAGCGCCCGGGGAACGGCGGCGGCTGAGAGCGGCCAGACCAAGAAGAGCGCACGGCTGCGGCTTGCTGAGCCGCCGGGCCGCGGCGGGGAGCCCCCAACGCCGCACTGATCTACCGCGAGGAAGCTGGGGAAGCCTGAGGCCCCTCCAGAGAGACAAAGGGCCCTCATGAGGCCGGGGCTGGCAGATGCTCAGGCTGACATATAGGAAGGAAAGATGGGCTTGGGGTGTCGGGGTTCGCCCCGGCGCGCCCCCGGGTTCCGGGCTCCTCACCGCCTCCTATGCGCTGCCACTGCCGCTACCGCCGCCATCTTGCGTTGGGTTTGCTCCTTGACCCCGAGCCTCCCCTCCTGCCGCGCGCATTGAGCCACGTATCTTAGCGCCCGCCCCTTCCGGTCTTTTCATTGGCCGGGCCACAGAGCGGCCGGGCGGCTGTCCCATTGGCAGAGCGTGAACATTAAATGATCGCGCGGGGAGGGGGAGAGGCGTGGCCTGAGCGGGGGCGGGATTGTCCAGAGCCAGGCGCTGTCCGACTTTGCTGGCTCTAAGCATCAGACAAAGGCACTGGACTCTGTTTTCTCAACTCGGCAAATTTTATTCAGAAAAAAGAGCTGGGGAGGAAAAACGTGACAGCGCTCCTTAGGCCAAGGTCTTAGAAACCTCCACCTTTCTGCAACACCTTGGCTTCCTACCCCACAGCTCAACCTCCCTCAGCCTCTGGGGTTAAGGAAAAGGCTATGTCCCCTGCCGAAGAAGAGTGGACGGTGAAGGTGCCTGAAAACGGCCAGAGAAGAGGCCCAGGCGGTCAATGTTTCGGTGGAGGACACTGTGCAGCACGGCCAAATGGGGCCCACCCTCGCCCCCACCCTCCCTGGAAAAGTCCCGGATGAAGCGGCCCCGCTCTGACTGGAAGATGAACTTCTGGGGCAAGGGCCCATGCTCCCGAAGAAAGCCCCAGACACTGAGTAGCAGAAGACGCACTTCAAAAGGTGCCAGTTGGCTAAATACCTCGTGCATATTACCCAGAGCTGGTGGTAGGAGGCTTCCCTCAGCCATGACAGCCACCAGAGTGCAGGATGCCTCCAGATGCCAGGGAGAGTGGGCTGTATCAGGGTGGCGAGAGGCTTCCCAATGCCCCAAGAGGGCAGCCAGCAGCCCCCGCAGCAACACGGAGCAGTAGCACAGAGCTGGGGGAGCAGCTGCTACCAACTTTAACAGCTCAAAGAGCAGGGGCTGTTCTCGGAAGCGCCGACCAATGCGAAGATCCCTCTCTACGGTGGCCCGCGCGTGCTCCTCAGGGGGCCAGGATAGCTCTGCACCAGCTGCATCTGGACACACACTCTCCACCAAGGTCACTGCGACTGCTTTGGCTGCCTCAGGGCTCAGGGTGGGAGCCCCCCAGCAGTCCCCACATTCAGTGCCCCCAGGGGCACTGCAGCAGTGCACCAGGAGGTTGAGGAGGCTCTGGTTGTTATAGATCACTTCCTGCTGATTGCGTGACTGGACAAACTTGGGCGGCTTAAGGCCATGGCCAATGACTCCAGCGTGGAAAACAGACCAAATCCCTCCAGGGCCAGGAACAGCTGCAGTGTGACGCCGGTTTGTGTCCAACAGGGAGGCAGAAGCCAAAGGAGCTGAGACTGAAAGAGTCTCATTGTCCCCATCCACTTCCCCTCCAAACAGTTCCGTGTTGCCCCGATGTAAGGCTCCCTCAACAAGCAGCTGCAGGACAGCCTTGAGCCCAGCTGGGGAAGTCTGAGAGAGGCGGGTCAGAAGCTGGGAGGCCGAAGCCACACCAGCTGGGCCATGCAGCCTCAGAGAGGCAAAGAAGCGATGCACTCCAGCTCTCACCAGTCCCAGGAGTTGGGAGGGGGACAGGGCTTCTGGAGGAAAGGGACAAATGGCCAGGAGAGAGGCAGCAGCTTCAGCTACTTCTTCTTCAGGATGTAGCAGGAGAGGAGCCAGGTCGGACAGATGGGCTGAGGCTGACTCCCCAAACCGGGCCCCTAGTGTTCCAGGACCCTCACCACCCTGCTGTTCCCATCCAACTAACAGTGCCAAGTTGCGCAGGAACCGACCGGTAAAGGGAGGCTGCAGAGTCCCTGCGTGTACCCGAGCCAGGCAGCTTCGGAATGCAAGAGGCAGGAGGCCAGAGAGACTGACCACCAGCCCTGCATACAACTGGGTGGCCAGACTCAATTCTTCAGGGCTTCGGGCCCGACTCAGGAGATGACCCAAGGCCTCAGGTCCACAGCTAGGTCGGGTATAGACAGAGAGCAGGCCCAGGAGCTGGTGCTGCCAGAGGAAGCGTTTCCGTTCCAACCGTAATGTCTCTCCACACAGCTCCCCTACATGGTTTCTTAGAGCATCTAGAAAGGGCACATGGCGAGGGGGTGGTGGTGGGCCTAGCACCCCTTCTCCAGGAGCCCCACCCCGGTGATGAACCAGTTTTTGCAGGTGCAGCAGCAGCAGCTGGATCAGCCGGTCACAGGCCTCACGCACGGTGTCTGGCACAGCCAGGCCCTGGGTAGTAATGACTGAGGCAGGCATGGCTGTGTCCACCAGGAACTGCAACAGGCGGTAGGCACCTGCCCCAGAGGCCTGGCTCACCAGGTGCACAGCCAGGTTCAGCATGTTGTCCAGCTCCTCTCGAGGGAATCCCTGCAGGTGTTGCTGCAGCTGGCTTAGCACAGCTGGGGGCTTAAGGCAATCTACCAGCTCTCCAGAGACTGTACCCAGCAAAGCTGGCGACATGACCGCCAGCTGTAGTAAGAAGGGAACCGTGGCCTGAAGGGAGGGATCCCCACTCCGGCCCCCAGTACCCCCTGCCAGGCTATCATGGAACATTCGTAGGAGCTCCCGTCGGATGCTGTCTCCATGGCGGGAAGCCAGGTGCCCTAGGATGCCTACAACTGATGCAATCTTAGGCACCCGTTTCTCTCCAGGCATAGCAGGAGATCCAGGGAAGGGGTCTGTAGAGGAGGTCTGAGAAGAGCTTCCACTACTACCGACTCCACCTCCGGCCCCACCATGAACACAGAAATCCTTAAGGCCACAGGAGAGAACTCGGGAGATGATGGTACCAGGAAAGGAGGAGCCAATATGGGCTACAACCCAGTCAAAGTGTGGGGAATGTTGGACAGATGTATCCAGCAAGGCATCCACGCAGGCATCTGGGCAACTACCAATGAGAGCCGAGAGGCACTGAACATAGATGTCCATTAATGTGCGTGTTGCCCGACAGCCCATCCACAGCTGCAACAATTCATTGAGAGAGCCAGTGGCATGAGGGACACGCTGGTGCTGGCCTGAGTATGTGCTGCTCAGTTGGCCCATGAGGTCAATGGACCATGCACTAATGACAGGTGCCCAAGCCTTTGGGTTGGCCCGGATAAACTCAGACAGCACCTGCTGCACTTCCTGTACCACATCCTCTAGACCAGGTCCTCCAGCAGGGATATGGGAGGATGGGGGTGGACGGAGGTGAGGTGGGCCAGACACAGGGCTTTCATCCAGGGCAGCCAGGTGGGCCCGGACACTCTCATCAAAGACTCCTCGTAAGTGATCAAGCACAGCCGCCCGAGCAGGCGGCAAAGAGCGGAGCAGGAGAAGACCGCAGCGAGCATGTTCCCGGGCCGAGAGTTGGTGGCCCAGAATAGGGTCAACACCAGTCAGAAAGGCCTTGATTTCTTGGGACAGCTCCTGAGCACTATAAGGAAGCAAGAGAGGCAGACTTACAGTATCAGGAAATGTTGGGCAAGTTAACTTCTCTCTGTGAGCTTCAGTTTCCTTCTATTTAAATAGGGATAACTATACCTCTCTCATAAGAAAATGCTCATAAGGCACTTAAGCACCACATCTAGTTCAGACTAATCACTCAATAAATGCTATTTTTCCTTCAATAACAATACCAATATTAGGTAACTCTTCAACTGCGTCAGGCACTCTCTTAAGTAGTACTTTATATGTATTACCTCAGCCCAATAAGGTAGGTATTATTATGATCCCATTTTACGGATAAGGAAAGCAAGGTTAAGTAATCAGACTATAAACTTCAAGAGGTAGTAAACATTTCTGTGCTCTTCAACACTGAATCATTGAGGTGCCTGGCATATGGGAAGTACTCAATAAGTATGTTGAATTTGGCAGTATATATATATATATCTTTTTTTTAGATAATAAATTTTAATGAATGTTAACACATTAGTCACAAAGAAAGGATTTCAAAGTTATACCAGTTTACACTGTAAAGAAAACTATGTGCCTAAGCTGATATTTAAAATTAAACCGGGTATTGTTATGACCATCATGAATAGTAATTCAGTATGGAATTTGGCAATATATTTTGTGCTCCTATATCTGCTTTAAAAACACCTTTCCAGCTTTACTGAACTCCCCGACACACAACTTTTTGCTCTTAATGCAAAGAAAACCCTAAATTCAGACTTGCCCCTTATTGAAATCCCTCCCAATTCCCCTTTCTTCCCATATTCTGCAAGCATCCTCACCATCCACTGTTTGGGCTCCACTACAACAATCACCACCTCCCAGCACCCTCAGTGTGCCTAGGAATCAGGCTGTCCCAAGGCACAGCCAAGATCAGACTTCCAGCCCTTCCCCTCCCAAAACACAAGGGTTCAGGCTCAGAGATTCGGAAGTCAGTGTTATTGGAAGAGGCAAAATGCCCTTCCTCTTACTGCCTTTTCTGCCAAAGAGCATCCTCTAGGGGCTGGAAGGGCTCTGACCGTGCCATTCCTCTCTGATTCCTCCAAACAAGGAAAAAACAAAAACACTAAGGTGAGGGGAGTGTCTCCGTTGGAGGGCAAAGGAAAGACTGGAAGGATTCTGTGGGTTTCTAGGTCTAAGATTTCTGAGAATCTCCATGAGTCAGAGGACCCTGGGTTTTCCCTACGGTTTAAAAAGGGCAGGGCAGCCGGCTTCCCAGGAGTTACAATATCCCCAACTCTTGGGAGAGCAAGGCGGGGATCTGGGGTAACTAGGCACTGGGTTTAGGGGGAGGCAGTAGCAAGATCTTGGGAGTGCGGGCACTGGAGCCCAGAGTTTTGGTAAGGCAGTCCCCGAATTCTGGTAAGACCCAAGAATCTCTGAGAACCCTGACGCGAGTTCTCCAGGTAGTATCCGGGTTTCTGCCGAGACGGCTGGGGGTCGGCGCGGGGCCGCGCGGTGGGGGAAGATGCCAGGGGCTCCGACTACCTGAGCGGCGCGGGACCGTGGGTGGCCGGAGCAGGCCCGGGAGGCCCTGGGGCCCCGGGAGGGTCGCACAACGCGGACATCCCAGAGCCCGCGACCGAGGCGAGAGCAGCGGAGCGCAGGCAGCGCATGCGCGCTAACGAATAGCCCCGAAAGGAACCGGCGGCGAGGCCTCTCAGGAAAACCAATCCGGCAACGTCGGCGACCGTCACACTTTGGTTCCGCACCGTGTCGGACTGCGACGGAGCAGGACTGCGATGATAACAGCAGGAAGCCAAACCGCCCTCCACTCAACCATTTTTTATCCCCAAAGGGCAATTGACCCGGAGGTTAAAACTAGATGCGGGTGGCCATTCACAATTGTATTTAAATATTTTCCCTAAAGCTCAAAATACAAAATGTTCAATTCACGAGGTTTTGAAAAACGAAACACTAGGAAACATTTTAATAATCAGTGACAATGTAAAAAGCACTTAAAGTAAAAAAGGGAAGGCAGAAAGCGGGGAAGAGGAAAAGAGATGGAAAGGGGGGACATTTCGGAACAGAAGATTAAGAAAGACAGGGAGGGAGAGGAAGCCCCAAATAAACTGGGCTGTCTAGGCTGAAGGGGTCCTTCCACTACAATTCTACCAGTCTCCATTGTTTAGGCTCTGCTCTCAACCTCCCCGCAGGGATCTTTTTCTACCTCACTCCCTCACACTTGCAAAGAGGGAGCTTGGTAGCCACATGCAGAACAAGTACACCTCATTAAGAGCTCTCACCCCAACCAGGCTATCTAGATCAAGTTCCAGCTGTTCCACTGTTGGATTCTCCCAGAGGAGGACGCCGCCCCAAATCACTCACGAAAGGCGTCTCTTGATGCAACAAGCAAGAGGAATTTATTCAGGAACCAGCTAGCTGGGGTCCAAGTTAGCCCGACGCAGCGGGTCTCAACAAGGACCCTGAGCACACAAAGCCAGAGGTTTTATAGCATTTTCAAAGGGGGCAACATTTTCTACAATCACAATACAGTGTTTTTCTATAGACACATAAATCTTTGGCTGGCGCCACATCCTGGGGGTCTGGTTAGGTAAAGTTACCTTCGGAATGTTTAGGGTGGTTCTAGCAAGATAAGCTTGGTATGTATGATTAACTGATTTGAGGTTAGCTAACTAAAGGTCACTACATTTAACACTGGCTGACTAACTTGTTTTTCAAGATTCTAATAATTTTCCTCCTTCTAGGTTAGGGGGTGGTATTTAAGCCTTTAAGATGGCTGTACTTATGCTAACTTTTGATTTTTCAGATCCTACACCACTTGCTGGCTATGTAGTTTATTTAACCTCTTTAGGCCTGTTTCCTCTTCTGGAAGTGAGGATGTTAATGGCAAGTCAACAGGGTTGTTGTGAAAACTAAAACCAGGTAATACATTCACTGTACAGTACACAGTGCCTGCGATGGTAAGTACTTTATAAGCATTAGCTGTTTTTGTATTTGTTGAATAAACTCCAGAAAATAAGCTCTTTGACAAGAGGACTTTGCCTATTTAGTTAAAAGCCATATCCTCATCACCTACAACAGTGTCTGCCTGGCATGTAATAGTTTAATATTAAATACTTGCTTGAATGAATGAAAAGGAAAGTGAGTTCTGAGGCCTGTAATAGACAGAAGGCTTACTGTTCTTAATAGAAGTGTGAGTTTTGTTCTTAAATTTTAGAAGCTTCAATCATTTACAAAGTGTAAATACTATCTACCAGCAAGAACTCTTCTAGGATAGTAAGTATGAGTCAATTTCCACTCCTAGCTCTGCCTCAGGCTTGTACCTGAAACTTCTCTGGGCCTCAACTTTTGATCTGTTAAAGGCAGCTTTTGCACCATTTACGTTCTTCCAGCTATGAGATTATTATGTTCTTGTTCTTAAGGATTTTGCAATCAAAGGGTGCTCATTTTAGAGTTGGACAGATCTGGATCCATGCCTATTTATTAGCAATGTAACGCTAACAAATGACCCAGCTGTTTGGAGCCCATTTCCTTATCTGCAAAATGCGCATGATGTCTCCTCTCAGACTTTTTGCAAAGATCGCTTGAGATCATTCATGTGAAGGGCAGCACAATCCAGATACAGAAACTCTTCTTTGAACCTGTCAAGCTCCTTCCTGCCTTAGGCACAGGAAGTAGAACAAAATTACTAAAGATACTATACTGAGATTTTGAACATGCCTTTCCTTCTCCCTCCTATCCTTACTATATCTGAATACAGTTCAATTTCAAAGTGCTTTTCTTTTCTGTGTTTAAACCTGGACATAACACTATTTCCCTGGAAAAAGTGGGTAATTCCAAGTTTTGGGTCAGGAGAAGTAGCAGGTGATCCTGGAATATAGCATTGTGCTGAAAAGCAAGGAAGTACTCAAATACTGATTGTGTTGTGTGAAAAGGACACAGAGACCATCTTCAAGAGGCTCCTGATGACTAAATTTGGTATGATTTGAGGCATGAAAAAGCAATAGTAATGTGTTATAATGCATTTAAAGACTATCTAAATCTACAGTGGTAATTTTTTAAAAGGAGGGGTTTTCTTTACAGAATATGCCAAATAAGTAATGTGAATGAATGAATTAAAGAATTAGAAAATCACCATTTTACAGCAGTAAAGTAAAGACCATATAGGCGTTAAAACCATTGGTTGAAAGGCTTTTGGGGAAAAGGGTATTCACACAATCTCAAAATGTCGCTCTATAGACTACTTATTAATTACAAAGGGAACAGATGCCTTAACAGTAAAGAAATTTTACATACACCCACTTAACTAAGTTTTAACCCACTTAAAATCACCAATAATGAGACAAACTGATATTACATACTACCTGCTGTAATGCAAAGGGAAACACACAATATCATCTGTGTAGAATTTTCCCCCAAAATGTTTAATCAAAATTTAATTATGAGGAAACATATGGAAACACTCAAACCCAAGTTGTGGGATATTCTTTTTTTTTTTTTGGTATCTTTTAAAAAAAAAATTTCTTTTGGTATCATTAATGTACAACCACATGAGCAACATTATGGTTACTAGACTCTCCCCATTATCATGTCCCCACCACATACCCCATTACAGTCACTGACCATCAGCATAGTAAGATTCTATAGAATCACTACTTGTCTTCTCTGTGTTGTATTGCCTTTTGCATGCCTCTCCCCCCCATTATGTGTGCTAATCGTAATGCCCCCTTCTCCCCCTTATCCCTCCCTTCCCACCCATCCTCCGCAGTCCCTTTCCCTTTGGTAACTGTTAGTCCATTCCTGGGTTCTGTGAGTCGGCTGCTGTTTTGTTCCTTCAGTTTTTGTTCTTATACTCCACAGATGAGTGAGATCATTTGATAATTGTCTTTCTCTGCCTGGCTTATTTCACTGAGCATAATACCCTCTAGCTCCGTCCATATTGTTGCAAATGGTAGGATTTGTTTTCTTCTTATGGCTGAATAATATTCCATTGTGTATATGTACCACCTCTTCTTTATCCATTCATCTACTGATGGACACTTAGGTTGCTTCCATTTCTTAGCTATTGTAAATAGTGCTGCGATAAACATAGGGGTGCATATGTCTTTTTCAAACTGGGCTCTTGCATTCTTAGAGTAAATTCCTAGGAGTGGAATTACTGGGTCAAATGGTATTTTTATTTCTAGTTTTTTGAGGAACCTCCATACTGCTTTCCACAATGGTTAAACTAATTTACATTCCCACCAGCAGTGTAGGAGGGTTCCCCTTTCTCCACATCCTTGCCAACATTTGCTGTTGTTTGCCCTTTGGGTGGTGGCCATCCTAACTGGTGTGAGGTGATTTCTCATTGTGGTTTTAATTTGCATTTCTCTGATGATTAGCGATGTGGAGCATCTTTTCATGTGCCTGTTGGCCATCTAAGTTTCTTCTTTGGAGAAGTGTCTTCAGCTCCTCTGCGCATTTTTTAGTTAGGTTATTTGCTTTTTGTTTGTTGAGGTATGTGAGCTCTTTGTATATTTTGGATGTCAGCCCCTTATCCGATATGTCATTTATGAATATATTCATCCATACTGTAGGGTACCTTTTTGTTCTACTGATGGTGTCCTTTGCTGTACAGCTTTTTAGTTTGATATAGTCCCACTTGTTCATTTTTGCTTTTGTTTCCCTTGCCTGTGGAGATATGTTCATGAAGAAGTTGTTCATGTTTATATTCAAGAGAGTTTTGCCTATGTTTTCGTCTAAGAGTTTTTTTTAATATCATTAATGTACAATTACTCAAACATTATGGTTACTACACTCCCCCTATTATCAAGTTCCCCCCACATACCCCATTACAGTCACTGTCTATCAGTATAGTAAGATGCTATAGAATCACTATTTGTCTTCTCTGTATATACTGCCTTTCCTGTGTTCCCCCCACCCCACTACATTAGGTGTGCTAATCATAATGTCCGTTTTTCTCCCTTATCCCTCCCTTCCCACCCATCCTCCGCAGTCCCTTTCCCTTTGGTAACTGTTAGTCCATTCTTGGGTTCTGTGAGTCTGCTGCTGTTTTGTTCCTTCAGTTTTTGCTTCGTTCTTATACTCCACAGATGAGTGAAATAATTTGATACTTGTCTTTCTCTGCCTGGCTTATTTCACTGAGCACAGTACCCTCTAGCTCCATCCATGTTGTTGCAAATGGTAGGATTTGTTTGCTTCTTATGGCTGAATAATATTCCATTGTATATGTACCACCTCTTCTTTATCCATTCATCTACTGATGGACACTTAGATTGCTTCCATTTCTTGGCTATTGTAAACAGTGCTGCAATAAACATAGGGGTGCATGCCTTTTTCAAACTGGGCTCCTGCATTGTTAGAGTAAATTCCTAGGAGTGTAATTCCTGGGTCAACTGGTATTTCTATTTTTAGTTTTTTGAGGAACTTCCATACTGCTTTCCACAATGGTTGAACTAGTTTACATTCCCACCAGCAGTGTAGGAGGGTTCCCCTTTCTCCACATCCTCGCCAACATTTGTTGTTGTTTGTCTTTCGGATGTTGGCCATCCTAACTGGTGTCAGGTGATATCTCATTGTGGTTTTAATTTGTGTTTATCTGATGTTTAGCCATGTGGAGCATCTTTTCATGTGCCTATTGACCATCTGAATTTCTTCTTTGGAGAACTATCTGTTTGTCTCCTCTGCCCATTTTTTAATTGGATGATTTGCTTTTTGTTTGTTCAGGTGCGTGAGCTCTTTATATAATTTGGATGTCAACCCCTTATCAGATATGTCATTTATGAATATATTCTCCCATACCATAGGATGCCTTTTTGTTCTACTGATGGTGTCCTTTGCATATGTACAGAAGCTTTTTAGTTTGATATAGTCCCACTTGTTCATTTTTGCTTTTGTTTCCCTTGCCTGTGGAGATATGTTCATGAAGAAGTTGCTCATGTTTTTGTCCAAGAGATTTTTGCCTATATTTTTTTCTACGAGTTTTATGGTTTCATGATTTGCATTCAGGTCTTTGATCCATTTTGAATTTACTTTTGTGTATGGGGTTAGACAATAATCCAGTTTCATTCTCTTACATGTAGCTGTCCAGTTTTGCCAACACCAGCTGTTGAGGAGGCTGTCATTTCCCCATTGTATGTCCATGGCTCCTTTATCATATATTAATTGACCATATGTTTGAGTTTATCTCTGGGCTCTCTGTTCTGTTCCACTGGTCTATGGGTCTGTTCTTGTGCCAGTACCAAATTGTCTTGATTACTGTGGCTTCGTAGTAGAGCTTCAAGTTGGGAAATGAGATCCCCCCTGCTCTATTCTTCCTTCTCAGGATTGCTTTGGCTATTCAGGGTCTTTTGTCGTTCCATCTGAATTTTAGAACTATTTGTTCCAGTTCGTTGAAGAAGGCTTGTAGGTATTTTGATAGGGATTGCATTAAATTTGTAGATTGCTTTAGGCAGAATGGGCATATTGACAATATTAATTCTTCCTACCCAAGAGCATGGGATAAATTCCCATTAGTCCTGCTCTTTAATTTCTCTTAGGAGTGTCTTGTTGTTTTCAGGGTATAGGTCTTTCACTTCCTTGGTTAGGTTTATTCCTAGGCATTTTATTCTTTTTGATGGAATTGTTTTCCTAATTTCTCTTTCTGCTAGTTCATCGTTATGTATAGGCATACAACAGATTTGTGTTAATTTTGTATCCTACAACTTTGCTGAATTCAGATATTTGTTCTAGTTTTAGAGTAGATACTCTAGGGTATTTATGTACAATATCATGTCATCTGCAAATAGTAAAAGTTTAACTTCTTCCTTACCAATGGGATATTCTTGAATAAATAAATATCCTTAAATAAATACATGAATAAATAAACTTAGGCTGGACTCTTCAAAAAGGTTAAGTTATCCAAGACAAAGTAGGGGATACTGTTCTGGATGGAAGGATACTGAAGACATGACAATTAAATGCAATATGTGATCCTTGCTTTGCTCTTGGACTGGGGAAAAAACAGTTATAAAGAACATTACACGAACTGTGGAAATCTGAAGTTGAAAAACTGAGTATTAGCTATTTCACCAATGTAAGAGAACTCAGGTGTCAGAATAGTATTTTGGTTCTGTAGAAGAATGTCTTAGGGATAAAATCTCATTTGCAGTTGACTTTCAAATGAGTCAGCAGAGACAACAAAGATACACACCACATATACATTTGTGTGTCAAAAGAGGTAAAATGGCAGAAATTGGTAAATCTAGGTAGACTGTATATACAAGGTTTCATTGTGTTATTTCTTAACTCTATTTAAGTTTTGAAATTATTCAGAATACAGAGAGTTGGGGAGAGGGGTGCAACACTGGGCTCAAACTCTTCCTCTTCCAGGAAGCCTGCATAGGTTAAATAGGGCAAAGAGAATACGCTTTTCCCTGCCTGAACACATCTCACCACAGGCAGCTTTTCACTTTCAACATTCTAGTCCTGGCTTATAATAAAGAGAATATCTGAATGTTAAAAGGGAAAAATAATGTTTGGTCTCCACTTTATTAAAAACATAATCCAGCAAAGGCAGAAATTAACATATCAAGTGACTTGTCTGCCCTGGTCACACAGAGGCAGTGGTAGCCGGTATCAAGACCCTTACTTTCTTCTGCCTTCTCTATAATCTTTATTTTTGTCAGAAACAGAAAGCTGGAGCATCACTCACTGAGAAGACGGGAACATCACTGAGGCTAGCTTCTTGATCTCTTGGCTCAAGTAAGCTCTATAGGTCCTGTTTCCTGACTCAAAGACCTCTTTTCATGGCCCATCCCCATTTCTACATGTAATCACACATCCCAGTGAGGACTCTAGAGCTTTATTACAAATGGAGATAACTGCTAAGGAGCCCCTTCTCCAGTCTTTCTTCTCTTCCTCGTTCTTCTCGATACATCCCTCCAGGGCAGATCAGAAGGCCATAATGTAAGGGGACTCTGGGGAGATTAAGAAGGTACAATGCTTTCCCCAAAGTCCTGTGAAACAACGAGAGTCCTCCTGGCTCCAAGTGAGAATCTGCTGGTGGAAGGGTGAGTGATTTAGCTCTCATCCTCAAGGTCTTCCATATCTACGTCCTGGGGAGTTTTTGTCTTCTTTCGCCATTTGGGCCGTAGTTGACAAGGCTTGGCTGGCTTTTGGGGGGCTTCCACTGAACAAAGGGAAAGAGGAAGCATTAAAGACCTAAATGAATCCAAGCTGTCCTCCCACCACCCCCGACCTCTGTGCCCCAGCTTCACCTTCCATGGCTGCTTTCTCTTTCTGGGCAAGCCGGATCTGCTGGAGGAGTTTTCTGCGCTTCTTCCCAGACAGAGTAATGTTGGCACGTGCACTGGACCTGAAGGTTGGCAGAAGCAAAGATATCCAGGTTAACCTGAACCAATATAGGCTACACAAGTAGTTCCAGCTACTGAAAAGGTTTTAGATTCAAGTCAAAGAACTGTTTGGAAATCTGAACTCTATAAAGTAAGGAGTTAAATCTGTTCAACACTCAGACATTGGCATACTTTACTTAATATTAATCTCAACAGTTAGACATTAACATATCTTAAATACTAATTTCAACTAAGTACTTGCCATTAAATGTTAAAATTCAGTATATGGTAGAAACTTTTAAGGGAAAAGTTATTTTTCTCCTCTATTCTCAATACTTCTGACAATAGATACATGGGGTTTTTTCCACATCAAGCCATTCTCAAATTCTCCGTGGACATTGACTCAACATACTACAAATGTTAACTCAATTCTGACACTATCTATCCAGAGACAGCATCAGATCCCACAGTTTAAGAGCTCAGTCCTACAGCCTGCCCCTATTTCAGATACCAATTGCATGCCCAGGTTGTCACCTATATTTCTGATCCAAGGGTTTTAGGAGCTCAGTGCCAGGAAGCAGGAACAAAGACCAAATATATTTCTTATTATACCACAGAACTGTAAATATTTATGAAGAAGTCAATGAAAGATTGGGATGGGAACTCTCCCCAAGGCAGAGTGGGCCTTGACACTTATGTGCAAACTCCCACGTGGGCCTTTGTGAAAATTCATGGAGTTGAATGCACACTTATGTGTGAGCTTTTAAAGCTTTTTATAAAAATGTATGTGAATGTACAATATCACTTGAGGAGGTGGGGGAGTCGACAGCTCTCCTTAGATTCTCTGTGGGGTCCAAGACCCAAAGAAAGGTTGTGAGTTGTCAGTACTGTGAGAGGCTAGCAGAATTTAGGCAGAAACACACCCAACAAACCAATCTTTACATAAATGTCTGGACCCAAGGAAAGCCGAGGTGCCAGCTGCTCTGGAGCTCGGCAGTGAGGGGAAAGGAGACTCGGTGGAAGGAAGACCAAGGGGAAGAGGGTCTGGCACTCACGCCCGCTTCTTGAGGTGGTGCCGAGTGATCAGCCCTTCGTCTATTACAGCCCCGACCACCCGGTGCTTCAGTCGCCGCTCGCGGTTCAACACACGCCGTCGCTTGAACAGCTTCTTTTTCAGCTCCTGCAGCGGAGTAAGACATTGATCAGACTCATGCCTTGCACCGCGCCCCGAGGCCCTGGGCCCGGCCACCCTGGTCCATCCATGCCATCTGGGGCCAGATTGGAGGGCTCTGGGACGTTAGGAGAAACAAAATCGGGGCTCCCACGCAGTTACCGTTCGAGGCCGGTTGATCTTTCCTCCAGGAGCCCCCATGGCTACGCCGCTGTCCCAGTTACGGGGCCACGTTTTCACTCTGCGCGAGGTCTGCGTGGCTTCCGCCGCAGCCCTGCGCGAGCAAATCGCAGCTTGGGGGGGCGGGGCCTGGGCTATATAAAGGAGCTCGGTCGGCTCTGAAGTCTTTCCAAGGGCAGCGAAGCTGTGAGTTTTCCGTTCTTTTGGGGGGCCTCTTAAATCGGGAGAGGTTTCTGGGCGGGATCTGCGAACCCTCCTTTTCTTGGCGGGGATTGGGCGTGCGGTCCCACTTCCCGTAATGTACGGAGGCAAAGGGAGGGGCTTCAGCCTCCTCGGCGTTATGTCTTCGGTGCCGGCGGCTTCCAGTCTGCCGGTTCTATCCTCAGACGCCGGGACACGGGGCTCCGAGGAGCAGGGCGAAACCGAGGTTCAGCAGGCTCCTCGCCGGGGTGCTCACGCCTTCACGCTTGATTTCAGGTCTTTGGAGCCGCCCAGGAGCCGGAGCTGTCGTGTCCCCTCTCCTACTCCCCGTTGCAAACAATAAAGACCGTTCGTACGTAGTACGTGTGTGTGCGCCCGTTATTTTTTCCAAGGCTGCAGAGTGGCGGAGGCCATACGCGCGTTATTCCACAAAGCGGAATTTACAAATCTTCCCTTGGACCGCAGGCCCCTGCCAGAGTGCGGACATTTCGCAGAAGGTTCTCTGGCCGACCTTGGGGAACCTCCAGATGGCCGCGTCGCTCGGAACCCTCCACGTGGGGACCCTGGCTGTGGGTGCGCGCCGCGCCTTTGCGGGTAGGGAAGGTGGACAAAGTGGGAGGGCAAGGTGGGTTCTTCATGGCCTGGGAGTGTAATTCTTCACATTGTGGTTTTTAAAACCCCGGAGCCATATTGCACCGTTTTTGCGGCAGTCTGATGGAACATGGGCACTGTGTGACACATGTCCTTCCCTCATGTCCACAGGCTCTCTGGCCGGTAGCTCCCTGGCAGACCGGTGCCTCTGGGATAAGCTCCACGCCCGGTATCGTCTGGACAGCACCCCCACCTTTGACTGGTTCTTTGGGTACAAGGAAGCCCAGGGACTCCTACTGCCGCTGCTACAGGAGGCACGGGCTGCCTGTCCACCACGTGTATTGGATGTAGGCTGTGGGACCTCGAGCCTTTGTATAGGCCTCTACACCAAGTGCCCACATCCTGTGGACATAATGGGGGTGGACTTCTCTCCTGTGGCTGTGGCCCACATGAGCAGCCTCCTAGAAGGACGCCAAGGCCAAACACCCCTGTGCCCTGGGCACCATGCCTCCCAACTCAACTTCAAGCAGGCTGATGTCAAGAACTTGGAGCCAGTGGCTTCCTCAGGCTCCTTCCATCTAGTAGTGGACAAGGGCACCTGGGATGCTGTTGCCCGGGGTGGTCTGCCTGGGGCTTACCAGCTGCTGTCAGAATGCTTGAGGGTCCTAAGTCCTCAGGGAACCCTGATTCAGTTCTCAGATGAGGACCCTGATGTGCGGCTGCCCTGCCTTGAGCAAGGGTCTCAAGGCTGGACTGTGACTGTGCAGGAGCTGGGCCCTTTCAGGGGCATCACCTACTTTGCTTACTTGATTCAAAGGTCTCATTAAGAATTTCCTTTGTCCTGATCCTAGTGTTTCTGTTGAGTGAGGAGAGAGTTGGAGAGAGCTTGGTCTTTGTATAATTGCTGGATATAAGGATCTGGCTTCCACATTTACTCGCTGAAAGCACATAGTATTTGTTCCTATACTCCAGTCTAGTCATCAGCAAGGGAGGAATACGGAATTACGAGGAAATAATGGAGTTACAGGGAGTACATACAGTGATAGGTGAAACATTTAGCTGTGCCAAACACAAGATGAGTGCTTAACAGGGAAAGTACAAAGGGAACATAACCCATCCCCAACTAACTGGAACTCCTAAAAGCAGAGGTAAGAATCCTTAATCCAAATCCCGGCATTGGCTGACAAGCAATCCTGTGGCCTAACCTCTAAGCCTAATTTTTCTCACCTGTAAAAGGGGAAGACGGGGGGGGGGAAAAAATGAGTAGAAAGTCTTCAAAAAAAAAAAAACCTAGGTGAAATTTATGAGGGTTAGAGAACAAGACTTACCCTCAAAACTCCTGGGAGACGGGATGGGAATATTCCACAAAGCTTCTACAGATGCAGGATCCTATTGCTGGGTCCAAAGAGGACAAGAATTGGAGGCTTCTTGCTCTACCTGTTCCTGCCTCCAGCTGAGTTCTGGGTTAAAGGTTCTTAAGGGAAATTTGACTTCGAGTGGCCTCCATGTCCAGCCTGGGAGAGCTAAAGAGCCCATCAACAGTGAAAAATATTTCTGATATATTACTGAATTAAAAAAAAACAAAGTTTGTAATTTTTTTTTTGCTTATAAGAAAGTATAGCAATTAAAATTAAGCTAATTTCACAGCCTCAATTTCCTCATCAGGGGAAAAGTATCTGCCTCATTGCATTCTGAAAATCATGAGATAAAAAATTCTTTGGCACAGTGCCTGGCACATAGTAAATACAACAAAAATGGTATACAGACAATGGGGGAAAAGTCTGAAAGAGAAGACATCCAAAAAGTTAACTATCTCTGGGTAGTCAGGTTTGGGATAATTTCATTACCTTGTCCCCTCTACAACGAATGATGTAAATATTTTAAAATATTACAAATAAGAATTAAAAGGTGTCATCTATCTGACATCATAACTGCCCTCTAAAGTTCAACTTTGCCAACCACTTGGACTTTTTCTTCCACCTCTACATTTTCTTCACTGGTTTACTGAGCACCTACTGTGAGACTGCCACTGCTTAATGCAGGGGGCACAACGGAGTTTCCCATCTTGGTTCTGCCCAGAACATCCAGGTCACAGTAGCCTCATTGAAGCAGCTACCTGCCTCACCTGGCTTTTCACTTTGGTCCTGGAGGAAGACCTCTGCCTCTCTCATTAGTGAGCAGCAGCATCTCATGCAGTCACTGGAGTTCCCCACTCCATTCTTCACTCCCCTCAGAGGCTTTTACCACAATGGAGGGCAAGTGGGTCTTTTGAGACACAACCTGAATGGGGACATCTGGGGGGCTTGAGCCAAACTGGAGGATGAGTCAGCAGGACACAGGGTGGGGAAGTACTAACCTGAACATCCTGATGACCTTTAACCCTGCCAGTTTCTCCTCTGTCCTTCCAGAGAGGATTGGTCAGCCTAGGATTTTCTGGATGCTGGGAAGAACTTGAGCTAGCTCTAGGCCAAGGCCCATCCTTGCTGCTCCCTTGCACAAGGGCCATGGGTGCTGATGGAGTGCAGGGAGGTTAACTCAGAGTACCCCTGCCCAGTGAACTCCACATACTGCTACTTTAATCTTTGGAGCCTAGCCCCTTAATCTTATGAGGAAAGAGGGATAACGTGTTAAGAGATTATGGGCCTTGAAGGGGAGGGGCAAATTCCAAGACACACGACAGAGCTTTATTTCTACTCACTCCCTGGTGACACCAAGAAAGGCAAGAGGGGGAGGAGTCAACAAAGGCGTCTGAATTAAAGCCCTGTGAATGAAGACCTTTGATAACAAACTTGAAATTTCCAGATGCTTTTGCTTACTAGGTCTCCCAAGTTGACGTTTCCTCATATCTTACTTAAAAAATATTTATATGGTGTTTCCTATTTGCCAGTAATTGTTTTAAATGCTTTACATATAAGCTCATTTATCCTAAACCTATGAGATAAATACTATTAACCCCATTTTCCAATGCAGAAACCCGGCGCAAAGAATTTAAATGAGTTGCCCACTCACACAACTAAGAGATGTTTTTCTCTCCACAGTGGAATTTGGTATGTTACACGAAATCAAGTTTTCATGGTTAGAAAAAAAAGGAAATGGCCAGGGTATACCTTGACCAGAAAAATAACACGTTTACTTTTAACAAGTACACTTAACAAGTAAAATTTAAAAAACTATATACCCTTTCTCTCACCTATTACAATTGGCTTGGAGTTTTTGTTCAGCAGTTAAAAGATTGGGGGTAGGGGGATAGTCAATAGGTTGATGTATATAATGTGTAAGTATTTAGTTATAGCCTGTGTGTACTGACAAAGCACAAGTTGTAGTAGGAAACTGGACAGGAGTACAGCCTTAGCCCTCTATTGATCAGGAAATTTCATAATGGGACAATTGTGAAACCCACAGCAACCAAGAAGACACGCACTCTCCCCTTAGCACCCTCAGCAATCCCACTCCGGATTTCACAACAATGGGCCCCGCGCTGGGGACTGTATGCCAAGCCAACACCCCTGACGCTCTCAACCTTCTTGGTTAAACGTAGCCTGGAGACCCAGGCGCCCTAGGCCCTAACCGTTTCGCTGGCTACGCCCTCCCTCTCTAGCCCGGCCTCTTCTCTATGGTGTCCGCCTGGTGTCGCTCTAGCCTGCGCAGCTGACGGTGAGACGGCCTGGGTACCTTTCTAGGCTGCGGTCGGCCATGGGGGCGTTGCGCAAAGCGCTGCTAGTGGGCGCGCTACTGGGTGCGGGGGCTGGCGTGGGCTCGGCACTTTTTGCCCTCGTGACCCCAGGAGAGCAGCAGAAGCACACGATGCTGAAGGTAGGAGCGACTGGGGAGAATCCCAGGTGGGGTGCGCGAGCGGCGAGCCCCGGGTTCGGGGCCGGGACTGCGAACCTCCCTCTGGCCCGCAGGAGATGCCGGAACAGGACCCGCGGCGCAGGGAGGAGGCGGCCTTGACCAAACAGTTAGTGCTGGCCACTTTGCAAAATGCAGCGGCCACCCAGGAGAACGTCGCCTGGAGGAAGAACTGGCTGGTCGGCGGAGGCGGGAGGTCGGCCTAGCCCGGATCTCCCCCGTGGGCGCAGGGACCTCCGCGCCGGCGCAGAAGTCCGAGGCGGTCTTTCTCCTCAGTGGACCCGGCGGGGACTCGGGATCGGGATGGCGCCTGCGCCGGGTCCCCCGGGGGCCCGGCGAGCTGCCAATGGGTGAGCACGCTCTCTCCCACCCCCTGCACTGACTTCGCTTTAACGTCCTCGCCGCGAGCCGGGATATCGTTTGCGATGAACTGAACGAACCAAATAAATCATGTCCCTCCATTTAGAGATTGAGCCCAGCGGCCAGATGCCTATAAATGCCTAGTGGTGTGGGGTTCGGTGCTGCGGGCGGGGATGAACGCGCCTGCCGCCTGCCTCGCCCCATGTGAGGCTGAAACCCAATAGGAAAAAGCCACCTTTTTCAAAACAAAGGTCGTGTGGTCCGTTTGAATGTACTTTCGGGGATAACAACATTCTTTAAATCAAAATTATCTGAAATCAGAACTATCTTGTAACAATGGATGCCCACAGAAGACACGTTTGAGTTTCTGTCCTTCGAATGAGTTTGGAGAGGGGCTTCTAGCATTTAACATATGCCTGGATGCCTTGTGTGGATTATTTAACTTTTCGAAGCTTAGCAGCAAGTAGTAGTGAAAGGAGTGTGCTTTTAGTCACACTGATTTTGATTCAACTGCTGCATATTACAAAACCTTTCAAGCCTCAGCCCTGTTCTAGAAAGGATGATAATTATCTTCAGGGTTGTTATGAAAAGATTAACTTACAAAAGGTAAAGTGCAGTGCTTGGTACAGAGCAGCCTCTCAGTAAGTGTAGTGGGGTTTTAACTCCCTGGAGGTTTCTCCTGCAGTAGTTTTAAATCTCCGAATCCAGTCAGAGGTTCTGCTGGAAATGCTATTGCAGGGACGAACTAAAGCTGTCGGTGGGCTCACAGCAAGCAAGTCAACCAATTCACTTCCCTTTTATGTATTTATATCCTGTGGTTCCAAGCAAGAGTGCAGTTGGGGGAAAAAAAGGGCTGCTGTTACTAAACAGAACACTAAATAAAGCTTGGTATCACTACAGTGGAAACTCAGATAAGAGCACTGGTGCTGTTTCCAGCTGCTGACGTCATAAGGCAATGTATTTGTCATATATGACCTTTAGTTTAATTGTGGCCTATTTCCTAGCTTGGGAATGAGAGGAAAGAGGTCAGCAGCTGTCAGAGCAGCACTAGAATGAGGCGAACAGCTTGAGGAAGGTTGGCAGTTTGGACCTGAGCTCTAGAGACAGCCCCCAGGTGTGTGTACAGGTTCTACTACTTGCTACCTGTGTTGGTTTGGGCAAGTCGCGTGCTTTGGCATTCTAGTCTCTAAAATGGGGTAGTTGTAATCTATACCTAGATAACTGCCTTCATATCTCAGCTAATACATATAAAGCACTTAAAACTGTGATAGACATTAAGTACTCAATACTTTTAGCACAGAGGTGATGCAGTTGGGAAGGTCACTGCAATGCTCCTCTCAACCTTTGTGAATGACCACATAAAAAAAATTACCCTTTCTGTAGCTAATATTTATTGGGGACTTCCTAGGTGCCAGGCCCTGTGCTAAAAGCACTTTATATCAGCATTATGTAATACCCACAACCACCCCAATTAATAGGTACTATTGCCCCTATTCTACTAAAGAAAAAAACTATGGTTTAAAAAGTCAAGGCACATAGCTAGTAAGGATTTCAAGCTTATGCACCGCCTTACCCATAGAAGCGAAAGGTGCTCTCCACTGTATTCTCCCCTAGCACCTCTCCCCACTTGACCTCCCAAGCAACTCATCAGACCCAGAGATTAGAAACAAGTTTCATTGTTGGAAACTTAAGATGAGAAATTAAGGTCTACTCTAAATGCCTTCCCTTTAGCTTCATCCTCTGCCTCAGTTCTGCCCCATTCATAAGAAGTCAAGCACATACGGAACTCAGAGGGTCTATTTATTAGGAAGGGGATGTCAGTGCTTTATCAAAGATGAGGAGGTCACAGAGGATTGGTGGGGTAAAGGCCTCTCAGCTGGGACATTTCTTGGCCACAATGAGGACAGCAGAAGGCACAAGTCCTGAAGATGGAAGACAACAGGTTTGTCACAAGAATGCCTTTTTGCCCCCTAAATTCCTGGCCTCACACCATCTCCACAGAGTCCCTTCTCTTGGCATTCCTGCCTTTCTCAAGCATGTCCCCTTTCCCCCAAGCCCTGGTTTCTGGTCCCACACATCATACCTAACTCCTGCAGGGGCCGCTCCATGTCAGCCTCTGAGAAGGCGCGCCGGGGGAAGCCACTGAGCAACTGCACGGGGTCCTGGCCCCCTCCAGGTTCTTCCCCACGGTGGAGCTCCACATAGAGCCTCACAGCTGCCAGCTGTTCCCTAGCTCGGAAAGTCTGGGTCAATGAGGTCCCATCTGGTAGCCTGACCTAGAGAGCAAGGGAGAGATACAGTACTGTGAGCATCAAAACTGAGTGGGTGCCTAAGTAAGGACAGGAAGTGGAGCAAGGCTGGCCCCTCCTTCCTCTTAGGTTGAACCAGCATAATATATTTAAAACAGCCTAATAAAACCACTTTTGCTCTGCTCTACTAAGCACTGGAGAGAGACTCCCAGCTCCCTCACAACTTAAGACAAGGATGATACAAAAACATGCAAAGAGCTGTATAATAAAACAAATGATAACATGAACAAGTAAAAAGGAATTGCTGACTTCAGAGGGAAGTACGGATTTAAATAAGACTGGAGCAAGTGAAATTTGGTATCTTTCCTAAGAGTAGGGGAGGTAGGACTTCAAAAGTCATTTACAAAAAAGGGAGAGATTTCACAAAGGCAACACGACTGAAAAAAGCTGCGCTGGGTGCCTTACAGGCCAGCAAAGGGGTCCCAGGAGCAAGGCAGGAATTAGAATCAGTACCTGTATGCGACACTGGTCATACTCCCTCTTGGTGGGCGGCTCCTGGCTGGGAGAGGAGGGAACAGGACCTGGCTCTGCTCGTGGCGACTGCTGAGAACTCACAGTACCACCATACTGGAGGACGAAGTAAAACTGATCAGGCACCACCCTCCCTCAAGAGAAACATTTAAGCCCATTTTCTCCCTCCGAAGCTAGAAAAGGGGAATCACTAGCCCACCTCACTATCTTAGTGTCCTCTCAATCACCCACCTTCTTGGCTCTCTCTGCTTTGTCCCTTTCGATCTTCTCTCGCACTCTTTGTCTGGAATGCAGACAGGAAAAAAGTAGGTGTTGACAAAGCAAATTTAGGTTCCTTTCTGATCTCTTATCCAACACCCCCGTCACCCAGACCTGGCTGCTAACTCTTCAGCCTTTTCCTTCCTACGCTCCTCAGCAGCCCGGCGCATCTCATCTTCCTGTAACCGCTGTCGTGCAGCTGACAACTCTTGCCCTTGTTTCCTGCGCTGTCGTTCCCGTTCCAGTGCCTCCCGCTCCTCTCTTTCTTCACGTTCCCGTTGCTTCTGGGCCACCAGCTCCAACATCCTGTGTTGCAAAAAAGATAGAGCTCAAGAGAAATGGACATGGACTGGGAAGATTTGTTTATAACAAGCAACTCAGAAAAACAAATCAAGGAACATGCGTCCCAAGACAGAGGCAAAAAAAGCAAAAAGGAAAATGCCAAGAGGGACTGTGGAAAGTTCCAGGTTCTTTGATGAGACTGGTGAATTGGGGACAGGTGGAAGTCGCCCCTCAGAAACGTTAGTCTCTCCCTTACCATACCTCTTAGTCTGTTCCTGTCTTTCCTCTTCACTCAAAATGGGTTTGCCTTCTGCCGCGGCGGATCCGTGTCCTACAGACAAGCAATTAGTATTATCACCCGTCCATCCTCCCCTGGCCCTCCTGAATAACCACGCCGTGTCTCCTGGGTAAGGGCCTTCGGGGCCACCTTGCTCTGAGGAGGTCGGTTCCTTTCCCAAGATATGTCCAAGAGGGGTGGCCAGCGGCTCGTCCACATCGGGGTCGTCTTCGTGCTCCATCAGCCTGGCAAGAAAAGCCAGGAGGGAGGTGAGCGTCGAGGTCGCCCCTCCCAGCAGTCCCCGGCCCCGCCAGGTCTGAGCGCTCACCAGTCCATCGCAGCCTCGATGCCCTGGTTCCCTGTGAGGGCCAGAGCCTTCTCCCTGGGGGCAGAAACACCGTGAATAGCGCCCTCGAGCCATGGCGCTGGTCAGGCTGGGCGTGGAGCCTGAGGCCGCCTCGGGTAACGGCCCGGACAGGTCCGCGGGCTTCGGTTAGGGAGCTCCCTTACGCGCGTCCCGTGGGGAAGCCCATCTCGATGAGACTCTCCAGAGCCGTCAGCTCCGCCATGGCGTCGCCACCGCCGCTTCCGCGGGCACCTGTTGGGGGAGGCGAGGAGGAGGGCGGAGGGGGGTCAACGCGGGGCGCCCCCGGCTCGCTCGTAATCCCGATCCCGAAGTCCCCGGCCGGGCGCTCGCTCACTCACCCGGCCCTGGCCCCGCTGCGGACACTGACTAGAAGAAAGCCGAGGGGAAGCGGAAGTGCCCGAATCTGTTTGGGTCACGTGGAGAGGTGGACATGGACGGGTGCCGTCGAGAGCCAGAAAGCACGAATGTCCCTGCGCCCGGACCTGGCGCGGGCGGTGGCTGGCTGCGCGTCCGAAAAGCTGATCAGGAGGCACCCCGCTGCCTCCCAGCGCGAGCGCGCCGGGCTGCGTTGGGGACGAAGGGCAGTGCGGCCCCGGCAACCATGGGCAGAATAAAGCCAGCTCGCGATACGGCTTCAGAGTGCAACCATTTAGAAAGTTACTTGGCAATGTTTACCAGCAGCCATAGAAATGAGCATACCCTTCGACCCGCTCCTCCTCTCCGGGGAATTGAACCATCCTCCGCCCAACGGCCAAAACAATCTTCGCAAAACAGTATGTGATCCTGTCATCACCTCCCTGCTTTAAAATTCCCCATGACACTCAGTCACCTAGGACGAAATTTAAATGCTGGTTATCTGGCTTCCTCCTCTTTTTTGTTGGAGCCCCATTTGTAAAGTGAGGTAACAGTAGTGTCCATCTTAGGGGCTTGTACGGTGTGAATGTTGGTAGTTGGTATGCAGTTTCATCTCCTATCACTTGGGGGTAACTTGTAAAATTGCAGAACAGGCCCTGTCCCACCTCCAGGCCTCTGAGGCTGCCAGTCCCTCTGTCTGGGATAGCCTGCCTCTTCTGTGGGCTTGGTTAACTCCGAAGTTTTGGACTGGTTTGCTTTCTAAGGGATGCCCGCTTTGACCTCTTCCCAGCTCCAATATTTACCTCACTAAGCATTTATTACAGTAGGGGTATAAATTATCACACCAAATCCATCCCGTGTAGTCATTATTGATTACTTAGCCCATCTGCTGCCACTACCTAGGCTGTTAAATCCCTAAATCTAAAGCTCACTTTAAATGTTTATTAGGAGTCAGAGTTGTAAGTTATCGATGTTGAAAATAGATACGCTAAAGGCTCATGATTAAGCATATTTAATCATCCCAACAGTCCATATGCTGTAGGTATTGTTATTAGTCACAGGGAACAGATGCAGAAAGATTAGGTAATTTACCTAACGTCACAAAGCTGGTTAAGAACACAAACCAGGATTCAAACCCACACTAAGCCACTGTGCTGTGGTGCCTCCCCATGGTGAAGTGAAGAGCGTCAGCTTTGGAGTTGGGCAGCTTGGGTCCAAATTCTAACTCAAGGATTACTTGTAGCTTCAAACCACTTAGAACCTCAGATTTCTTGCCTGTGAAGATGACACCATTTCTTGAAATGATTGTGGTAAAGACTGAGAATACATATAAAGCATGTCTTTAATACTGAGATCGTAGGCCTTATCATTTGTAAATGAATAAATGCTGAGAAAATACAGGAATAAGAAAAGACATGGTATTCAAGCAGTGTGATAAATGTGTTCTAGATAACAAATGTATTCTAAATTTATTCCAGAGGCCCAATAATAAAAGAATGGTTAAATTAGTATAGTACTGCATCTTTCACCCACTTCTGTAAGTACCCTGTAGAAATAGACAAACAAGTAAGGATGATAAGGAAAATATTCAACACAGCCGTCAAGGTCAGCAAACCGCTTTTTCCCTCCAGTTGGCAAAGCCCTCCCAGCTCCCTCCTCCCCTCCTCCAGGCTCCTCTTCTGCCCTGCGCATGCCAAAATGCCACATATCAAAATAACATAAATTGCTCCCCTTGCTTGTGCTCAGGGCTCCGCCCTTGGGCGATTACTCCCCTCTGAGCCCAACAGTGTGAAATAAAACCTCAACAACTCCAGGACCTCTGAGTGCCGCTTGGTTCTTCTGTCAGCGATGCAGTCCAGGTTTTCCAATATTTTCCGCAACAAGGATACACAAACAAAACAAGGTTGTCCATAGCAAAAACTGGAGACATCCTTCTATGGAAAGTTATGCAGCCTTTAAAATAACTAAGGAGGCTATGATTTACCAACATGGAACACTGTCCAAAAGATATTGAGTGAAAAAAGAAAATATTTGCATTGCATAGCAAAAGACCTGCTCTGTTTCGGGCAATTACCTCTTGAGGAGGGAACTTTCATTTTATACTTGCCAGTATTACTTGAAATTTGGATGTTACTTTTATAATTACAAAAAAAGTTATAAGAACAATAAAAGTGAGGATTATACCCTGGGGCAGCTTATACTTTCCTACATCCAGTTAATTTAAAGATAGATTCAGAAGTATGTATACTGCTCTGAAACACATCTATGGGGGAAGGGATTTGAAAAGGATCATGAAAAATGGAACATCCTCCTTTTATGTTTCTTTTAATGTTGTTACAGTGGATATACAAGAAACACAAAATGGGGGAACATGGGGAGACACCTCAGATTTGGGAAACGCCCCAGACAGCAGCCTGGGGTGGTGTCCCTCTCTTCTTCACCCCAAATCATTTATTTCTCACACAGGTGGATGTGCCCATCCTCAATATCTAACAAAAGGCAGAAGAGGAGGAGCAGCCCCTGACCCTAAACTCCCCATTCTGCAGCAGTTTATTTTCAAAACCCCACTGAAGCCACCTGTAGTGGCAGAGCCCTTTGGAGGGGGTGTGAGACAGCACAGCCCAAGGGCCAGAACTGTCTGGGCCTCATTTGTAAGGCCCAAGAGCTCAGAATGGGTTTTACATATGTAAATGATTACATGGTTATGTAAGTGTTACATAATCTCTTCGATTTTTATCCTCGGAACCGCAAAGTCTAAGTGATTTACTATTTGGTCCTAAAACACTGTGCGGACCCTCTCCACCCCTTCGTCCCCCCAGCCCGGGGCAGAGCGGCGAGCCGGGCCGGGCGCGAGCTCTCACGGCAGCCGCGCTGGGCCCCGCAGGTGGGCCTCGACCCCGGGGCTGCCGCCCGCGCTTCAGAGCCTGGCCGCCGCCCGGCGGGGGCAGCCCCAGCGGTCGCGCAGGCAGAAGTGCCAGCAGAGAGCAGAGCAGCTCAGCAGGGCCAGCGCCGCGCCCACCCCCACGGCCGCGTGGAGCAGGGTGAGGGGCCTGGGGGGCACGGCCAGCCGTCCGCACGGCCCCAACACAGGGCCTCCCGCCCCGTCGAGGCCGCCCTCGCCACCGGCCCCCGACACGCTGCTTTCTCCGGCCGCGTTAGCGGCCACCACACAAACGACGTATGTCCCACCAGACTTCAGGCCCTTCAGTTCCGCTCTGCGAACGGTAGAGTTGAGGGGGGGTCCCTTCTGGGGAGCCCCGCTGCCTTCCGAAAGCAGCAGCCAGTATTGGTGCACCGGGGAGAAGGGGGCACACCAGCGCACCACCGCGCGGCCAGCCTCGGCCACCACTTGCACTTCCCCCAGGCGCGGTGGATCCGGCGGCTGGGCAGGGCTGGACAGCCCGGGGCACAGGCAAGCCGTCGGTCCCACTCTCTGCAGCTCCAGACAGGGCACCTGCAAGTGGCGGCACCGGTCGTAATCACAGGGGACAACCGGCAGAGGTGGCTGCGATGTCTCATCTCCCTCTTCTTCAAGGTCTCGGGGGGCCAAGGGCTGTGCTCTGGAACCCAAGGAGAAGGTGACAGCCAGCAGCCACAGAAGCCAGGGAGTGCCCAGCATGGAGTCTGGAAGGGAAGGCGGATAGTTAAAGGCTGGTCAGCCCCCATGCCTTCCGGGCCCTTGCCCTCAACAAAACCCGAAGACAGGGAAACAACTGGGGACCAAGAGGAGACCAGGCAAGAGGAGGGGACGAGACAGACACGCTCATTTGTCAACTAACTTCTGAACAGGTTTTGGTCAAAAGAATAAAAATATGGTCTGACATGAGGGATGTGTGACCAGCAATGTGTGAAGTGCTAGAAACGGTTAATGAGTAAACAGTGTGCTGGTGGGGAGAAGAGGAGGAAATGGTTTATTCAGCCTGGGGAAGAAAGGTGGAATAATTCCCAGCTGCCACCCAGAAAAAGGACCTTAGTAGAACAATTACCAGTCAACAATGCAAGCAAGAACTGGAACAGTGACAGAAGGGAGAGATGGAACAGACAGCACAGATAAGGGCCCGGAACGTGCTCTCCCCACCTGTCGGAGTCATCCTGTCCTCTGCTTGCCCCCCACCTCCCACCGCTCCTCCTGGGCCCACAGCAGCCCCTCACCAGTGGGCAGTCCTTGATGAGTGGGAATCTGCGACCAGATAGATGTCTGTGGGTGTCAGGCTGCAGGGTCCCCAGGAGCACTGGTTTCGCAGGCACGTTTTTTCGGTGTCTTCAATTTCAATTCTGTTTTGGCTGGAAGCTTTTATACTTCATCTATGATGTCACCACCTAGCCCCCCTCCCTGTCCCCCCTTCCCGTGAGTGCCAAGAAAAGGGCTGGTCCCTTCAGAGGGCCTGAGTCACGGGGCCAGGGATGGGGAAGCCACATGCAGCAGCTTCAGCTGGAGGTCAGGATGCCTGGGTTCTGAAAAGGGAGTGGAATGTGGAAAGCAGCCAGGAACTCAAAGTCCAAAGGCTGAAGTCATGTGAAGGGATGAGGAGGGGATTATTCAGGAGAGGGCCACCTGGCTGGCAAAGAAAACAGCTGTGGACAGCATGGGGCCAGGGCTACAAAACGCTGTTTCAATAAAAATCATACCACATCCATGGCAGTCATTTCCTGTCTTCTGCCTCTGGGTGGACAGAGAAAGGGAGGGGTGCAGAGGCCCGAATGATGTATCCCAGCTCTCCAGATCCGCCCTACACTATCCCCCTCCCCAGAGGGAGATGAGAGGCATGTGGATGGAGGGGGCAGAATAAGTTTTCTCTCCTTGGAATTCCTAGGCTTACTAATGGAAACAGCTGTGCCTAAAATAGTGCAGGGTCTGGACTCCTTCCCCATCTGTAGCCCCTGACAAGACAACCTCCTCCAATCTGGGGTGGGGATAACTGGGGAACACAAGGCTTGCAAATGGCCTTGAATCCATTTCAGAGTCAGAGAGGCAGCTGGCAGGAAAACTGTTTATTGGGAAAACCACAGGAAAGGGGTCAGGTGGGAAGGGCTGGAATGTGGGGCTGCTGCCTGGCTCTCTTCAGGAACTAGAGCAGGTGGGGCGCTGTCGGAGAGCATCTGCAGAAGGTTCAGAGCTGCCTAGAGTCTCTGGGGCAAGCGCAAGGTTAGGAGCAGGCAGGCTGGCCTCTGTTAGCAGAGCTGCATCCTCCCAGGAGCCAGAACCTGGACCAGGGGGACAGAAGAAGAAAATCCCCAATGGGAAATTAGACTACCAAAGGTCTCTCGCCCTCACATGCCACCCTTACCCCACCCAGGTGCCCCTGTGTGGTGCCCCTCACCATCACTGGCCTCTGGCTCCAGTTCCTCCTCTCCACCGAGAGGCTGCTGATCTGGTTTCTCGTCCTCAGACAGTTGACCCTCTGCAGCCACAGGGGGAACACAGAGGTCAGACTGGAAGAGGCTGAAGGGGTGAACTGAGGAGTTGTCAGCAGGGTGGGCAGGCTGCAGCCCCACACTGGGGCCTGAGGGGTCTTCAGGGCTCTCGCTGTCCTCTGTAATGTCTGACAGGTGGGTTGATTCCTCCTGGCCCTGGGGCCCTGCGCCTCCAAAGTGGGCAGAGGACAGGGCAGGGCTAGGGTGGCTGTGCCTGGACAGCAGAGCTGATTTCACCTCCTCCAGTCTTCCTGAGCTCAGCATGCCGGTGCCTTGGGCCGCATACTGAGGAGCCTCCTCCCACCCAGCACCCCAGCCATCACCTTTACCTGGCTGATGAGCAGAGGTCCTCCGCTGGACTTCCCTTTGAGAACTGTCTCTTTTTCCGATGTTTACCTGTGGAGAAGAAACCACTGAGCAGCTCCCCTCATGGGCAGTCAGGGCTCTCATGCCCGAGCCCATAGCATGCCCACCCCATGCCAGTCAAAGGAGGATTGCAGGGGAGAGGGAGTCCTTTGTGACCTGCAAAGAGAAGTGGTATCGGGGCCAGATGCCCCCCAGCACCCACTGCATGTAGCTGAAGAGTACTATGACGCTGAGGAAGGTGAAGTTGCTGGCGACACCTACAAAGGCACAGGTCATTGGGAAGTTGTACAGCAGGTACCTGAGGCAGGAAGCAAGGACAGGAAGGGAGTGGCAGTTACTGGAGAGCAATAGCCTCCTCACTTCCCAGAAATAATTTCTAGGGCAATTCAAGTGAGTTTGGCCAGAGTCGGCCTCCACCTCCTCTGCTTCCCCCGTGCTGAGTCAATAGTTCTCAGCTCTGGCTCAACATCAGCATTCCCTGGGGTGCTTTGAAGAAGTCAGATGGCCAGATGCGAACCTAACAAATTCTGGTTCAGGCGGTCTGGGGGTGAGGCGCAGCTCTGGGTATTTTTAAAAAGGCCCCTAGGGAGCTGATACGCTGATATGCAACCAGAGTTGAGAATCTGTGGTCTAAGTAAAACCTGTTTCCTCTGCTTAGGACCCTCTTTACTAAAGGACAGCACTCTGGAGAGCTGCGAAAGCCCGCCTCGGTGGTTACCTGAGCCCAGTGAAGTGGGCGTGGATGCGGAGGTAGGCGCCATACATCTGGACGCGCTTGCTGTGGATCTCGATAACTGCTCCAGTGGTCGGCACATACTGCGGGAGTCGGGAGGGGCAGCATCAGGCCTGGGTCCTGCTGCTGCCATTTATACTGGCCCAGGCCGAGGCCAGCTTCTAGCTTCTCTGTTGCTGGCCCTGCTGAGCAGGCCCAAAGGCTCCAGCAGCAGAATTCTGGGCTTAGGCGAGGGCCGGCTCCTTGTCCCCTTCACCCCCCTTACCGAGTTCTCTCTGTATTCTGGGTATAGCTCCACTTCCAGGAGCTGCTTCTGCTCTGCAAAGCCGAACAGCAGGAGGCTAGAGAAGACGAGCGTGTCAAGCATCTGGAGCAGGTCTGAGCGGTAATGCAGCATCGCCTGCCAGGATCAGGAGGAGGAGGTGGGGACGGGTACCTCCAGCTTTCCACGGCCCTACCTTCCCCTCAGCCGCCCAAGTAGTCCACACAGGCTGCTTCTTCCTCGGGTCCCGTGCTCCCTCACTTTCACTTCCTGCCCGGCCCCATGTCTTGACCCAACCACTACAAATGCTTGAGAAACATTCCTGCCCTGCCCCACCCAACTAGGGCTCTAGCCCAGCATAACAAAGGCTCCTCATCTAAACCTTCCTAAGTTAAGGCCAAAACTGTGTCTCCCCTTCCTTTCTCCCAGAGAGTCCTACAATCCAGAACAGACTAAGTTCCCAGGTACCACCGGAAGCTTGCTTCCCCATGCAGACAGACATTCAGGGATTTGCTTCATGATGTGGTTCTGCCAACAACTCATGTAAGGAGTCTAACATTTATTGAACACCACTATGTGCTAATAAGCACTTTACATTTCCTCAGCTAATCCAAAATAGTCTTGTTTTGAGGGGTTACTATTACATGCAGCTATTATTACTGCATAACCAAGGGGTTAAGAAAGTGCTCCCTCAGCTCATGTTTCTGAGTGAGGATTCAAGCCCAGATGTGTCTGGCTCCAAAGCAGCTCGTTTTCAGAGTGGCTCCACTCAGACTTTACCCCAACGCTGTATGGGTTCATCGGACATCTGGGGGTGTTTGTTTGATTTGGCAGAGTGACCCCTCTTCTTTATCCTGATGTGTCTGTGACCTCAGAGCTAGGATGTTTTTTCCTGAAGCCCTACCCAGATATTCTGACATCTGTCCTCATTCTCCACACCTCCCAACCAGGCCGTGAACACTTACAGAGCGTGAAGAAGTGGAGATGATTCGGCCGCCTCTGGTGTAGCATGAAATGGTGACCAAGAACATGCCCAAATCTTGATTCACAGGGGACTCTGGCAGCTCAAGCTCTAAGGTGACACGGTATGGCTGTCCGTACATCAGCACCTGCCCAAGGGAGCCCCCATCTCTTTTCAAAATAATTTAAAAGAACTGTACTGTCAATGTCCCATTTCCCACCACCCCTCCAAATACTCTGCCAAAATCTTTTGTTAGCCTACAGGTCCCTCTCTTCTCTCTCATGCCAAGAAAGTGCTGCCCCCTTCTGGTGGCTGGGTCCCACTTCTGAGATCTTCCATATCCTGTTAACGCTTCTGAATCAGACTTTCCGGCTGCTCTGTTCTGAGAAAGGCTGGGTCACGTTTCTTTTTCAAAAGTGAACCATTGTGTTGCCAACTGGGCCATCTGTGACTCAGGCCTGCGGCCCCACGAGGCCATCCTCTGGGACCCAACCTGTCTTCACTTAATTAACCAAATGCCAGAAGTGCTCCCCATCTCCCTAGCCAGCTCTCACAGTCACTGTCACTCCAGATCATTTTTAAAATGTCCTTCTGGGTCTCTTATCTTCGTGCTGTTGGTAGAACCCTGAGACTCATAGTGGGAAGGCTTCTTCCCTGGGATTACCTCAAAAGGTTAAAGATTTGCCACCAAACTAGCCTAGTTTTTCCTGACCACTACTATTCTCCTCTAATTCTTTATTCAACTATTCTTATCCTGTAGCATGACACCCTCAGGTTGATTATAAAGAATCACAGGGGTGATGGTAAAGCTTTTGTTTTTAACCAGAGATGGAATGGATTAAAATTTTTTAAAAAAGAAAAAATTGAAGTTACCCTGCCTCAAATCTGGATATGATTATGAGAGTACTTTACCCATTTTATCACCAGGGTAAAAGGTGGGGAACCACTGATAGAAGTTCTGTCTTTATAAGACACTTATTTTCAGTATGAATTATCTGTTTAAAGAAAGGGGGGTATTCCATGAGATGAGATACCTACCCCCAAGTAGAGGCCAGATGAATCTAAGCCAGTTGTTTCACTGAATTCTTTCAAACATTAAAATAGGTAGTTCTCTGGGTGGGCTGGAGGGAATGAGAAGTGATTGCTAGCTAATAGGTATGAGTTCTTTCTGGGGTGATGAAAATGTTCTAAAATTGTGGTGATGGTTGCCCAACTCTATATGTGCATCTTAAACAGTGAATTGTACAGTATGTGAATTATGTCTCAATAGTTGTTTTATACACACACACACACACACAATTTTTAGACTAGCAATTCTAGATAAACATCATCTCCTCCCATGGAATCTGGTTTCAGAATCTTGTGAATGACTCCATGCCTTTGTTCACAGTTGCCTGCTGACAAGCAGATTCTCAATTTCCATGCTTCCTTAAAAGGTCCACTTTGAACCTCACCATCTCCATAGCCTCACATTGATCTCTCACATTCCTCACAAAGTCTTCTGAAATGAGAATCTGCATCTTATCCTTTGCTACTTAATGCATTGTATAGATTTCTATCCATCCTGTGAGCTTCTTGGAAGCAGGACCACATCTCTACTTCTAGCAAGGTGTTATTCAGAATAGACAAAGGATTTCATCCATTCACTCATCCATTCAAAACTGTTCACTGTAAATGAACAAAATCATCAACCTGCTTTAATCATCAGGGACGTGGGCTGGATCTCCCCTCATCCTTCACCTTTCCCTTCCTTCCTTACATAACAGCCTCACACCCGACTGTTTTAGGCCCCCTGCATCGCCACTGTGACCTCTACAATGGGCAGCCATACAACTGTATGCACCATCCAGGCTGCAGATGTACTGCAGCTTTGTTTCTAATTCCCTCTCAGTATATCTCATGTATAATTTCCACCTCA